CCGCGATTTTGTTTCGAGGTTTGTTAGCACCATACCCGTGCTCGTGGGTTTCACCGAAGTGGTAAATGTCCGAGACCTGCATCACTTCGGGCTTTCCACATTAAGCTGACACGCCGCGATATAACTGGAATACTGTTAAAAGCGGCGTTAAACCCAACTCACTCCATTACTTAGACTACCAGTTGTCAGATTTCCGTTTTGTTTCCTAAGTGTCTGAGTGGGTTAGGTCGCTCACTGTGTGTGGTGCTAATTAGGTGCCTTATTCTGAGCGTAAGGTGCTTCACCCAAAAAGTACTAGAATTTGTACTCAACTAAGAAAGTGTAATCCCAAATATAACACATCTAATATTTGATCACTTTCTGCAAGGCATTGTCTATTCAAAGATTAAAGAAGTTGTTATCCATAAAAAGTGTATCTATCTATCTATCTATCTATCTTTCTGTCTATCTATCTATCTATCTATCTATCTATCTATCTATCTATCTATCCGGACTTCAAGAAATAAGAATCATGTCTGTGTGGGCGGTCAATGCTAGAGAGAATTAATCGCTTTTGGTCACCACGACAGCAACTGCCATTGTTTGATCGGGGTCTTTTAACATAGTGTCTGACCTCTGCATTCTATATAACTAGGAATACAGTTAATACGAGGCCGTGGCAGGTCACACAGTGTTAACAATCACCTTTCCATTTGATCTAAGATAAGTTACTTGTACTACGCTCGTACTGCACTGTTAGAAAGACAACTTCGGCATTCGGTGTGATAATCCATAACTTGTTTGCCATAATTAATGCGCCAAGAAAACAGATGTACTTTATTCAACACAAATTCCTTTGTTTATCTATGTATTCACCAATCCATGATGTAATCATTTTATCTGTATCTATCTAATGTGTATGCACATTGATGATACAATACTCGGGATGTTGTGAGGAAGGTGCTACAAACACGTTTTCCATACCCAGTAAGTTTGTATTATCCCACAATCCTCTTCACATGTCCGCCACCACACGCTATCACTCCCTTTCATAGAGTTCGGTATGCATCACCCATGTGGCAAGTTATTATAACCCTACCGGTACATACGCTGACCAGGCTGTAACGGCAGTTTCACCGTTAAACAACATCACTCTGGTTCTGAAAGTTTGCCAATATTATTGGAAAACCCACTTCTTCCTGTATTATTTCAGTTTAAATATTGTCGAGGCACTTTCCAACCGATGTCACCGAGTTTCACGAATGAATATGGTGTCAAGTCATCTATCTACGCGTCTGAATTGGAATAATATTTGACAACATGGCAGCCGTGTGTGCACGGTGCAATAACCTGCACACAAGTGCACATCACCATCTGGTAATTCAGACGGAAGCGCGTGGACAGTTCTTGGTTATATTCTATATAGTTACTACTTCCACATCAACAACAATCATTACTACTGCAACTACTGCTACAACTGCTGTTACTAGTAGTAATTTTACTGCTACAACTAATACTACTATTACTAATACTACTTCTACTAGTACAACTACTGCTGCTGGTACTACTACTTACTCCTGAAGTAACCACTACTTGTGGTACTACCATCGGTTCTATTACAACAACTACTACTACTACTACTACTACTGCTGCTACTTCTACTACTACTACTACTACTACTGCTGCTGCTGCTGCTGCTGCTACTACTGCTACTACTACTACTACTGCTGCTGCTGCTACTACTACTACTACTACTACTACTACTGCTGCTGCTGCTGCTAGTACTACTACTACTGCTGCTGCTGCTGCTGCTACTACTACTACTTCTGCTGCTGCTGCTGCTGCTACTACTACTGCTGCTGCTGCTGCTACTGCTGCTGTTGCTGCTACTACTACTACTACTACTATAGACCACCTTATAGTCCTACATGACATTCTGCTACCCCCAACAGTCTGTAAAGAGTCATCTGTGGCTGGGTAATTTTGGGTAATTATAAACTGGTTCGATGAATATTGGGCTAAGTAATGAATTTGCAATACTATGTTTGAAGTGTTGTAAATTTGTGACGAAAAAGCTAATTTTATTGAATTTCAAAGATAACACGTCTAAGATACCCATCAACAGTTGTGTATAAAGCGAATTTTGTCTTTAAGTTTTAAAAGTTAATTCAAATTATATTTTTAAAAATATGTAAAAAGAACATGTATACGTATTCTTTGAGTACAGTAGAGTTCATTTTTTTATATAATATCGCTATTTTCAATTGAAAATCAAACATGTGATAAACTGAGATGTAAACTTTCTTTTGGCCTTCAGTATAGCTCAGATGTGTAACCTGGCCTATGTGTGGCATTGCGCTGGTCAATGTTTATGATCATCAAGGTCATATAAGTGTATCATTATATTGCTTACTGCTGCGAAAAACTCACTCACTCACTCACTCACTCACTCACTCACTCACTCACTCCTAAGTACATAACCTATGCTCTGGTCAGTTTCCAGTCAACAGATGTCAACCACACACACACACTGTATGGGCCACTGCTGACACGGAGCCACGTACACTCTCTCATTCACAAATTGATTTAACAATACTCAGGCACAGGAAACGCCAGCTGTCATGTATAATGATTTTATGCAAGCTTGTTTCAATGTTTGAAAGACAAGAATGTTTGAATACATTTTATTTCTGTTCGTAAACGTTATTTCTCGAGTAGGAAATGTTGAAACATAAACGTCATTCCGTCAAAATGTTTACGTTTTCCTCGTGGACCTTGTTGTGTTGTAAACGAAAAGAAAGTGTGAACATAAATGTTAAGAATAATTCTTGGGCCAAATTGGGACAGAAGGAGGTTACTGTTATGTTCTTTGAAACCGAAATAACTGAGTGAGTGAGTGTGTTGGGTTTAACGCCACTTTTAACAGTATTCCAGTCATATCGCGGCGTGTCAGCTTAATGTGGGAGGAAAGCCCGAAGTGATGCAGGTCTCAGACGCTTACCACATCGGTGAAACCCACGAGCACGGGTATGGTGCTGACAAACCTAGTAACATAATTGGGGCGAACAGGGATTCGAACCCACAATCATAGGTTTCTGGCGTGCCCAAGGGGCGCAACTCTGCACAGCGAATCGCGGCGCCTTAGACGACTGGGCCACCCGTGCCCCCGAAACCGAAATAATGCAGATACAATATCTCAGTAATCTCTTGTAGTAGGATAACCTTTAAACCAGTGGTAAAAAGTGTGAACATCGATCCATGGTGCCCGATCCATGGTGCCCGATCCATGGCACCCAATCACCCAATCTCGTCAGCCATTGTTACCAACCAATCCACATGTACGGCAAGCCTCACTTTAGAATGAAAGGTTTTCGGTGCTTAACAGTTGGTTATCACTATGCAAGTTGGTCGCATCTTAGATCGGAACCGTTATCTTTAAATTAAAAAATGACACGTACTATAATTGACCATGTTTCAAGGTCTCTTCTGTATCAGCGGTAATCAGAATTTGAAACCAAATCTGTGAATCCACCAGAGCATTAAATACTAAGTGTTAAACCTGATTCACAAGCGAAGTGTGAATAGAATTATAAACACTGAACTTCGATTCACCATGGAACATGCTCGTTTTGAAGTCACTCACGGTGGAGTCAAATACATATTTACTCTGATAGGGAATCTCATCGTTAGAAGCAGACCAATTTGTTTGTCTATTCTGGTCGCCTTCAGCAGACACCGCGTTACATGACGGTCACACGAGGCGTCCCGAACACAAACATACTGATGCTATTACTTTAGGCTTTAACTGCCTCTCTTGACAACCCACTCACACGATACGTTTGATTGCTAAGAGAAACAATCTTTATGGATACATCTATTTTTCTGCCCATGTTGATCGCCTAATGCATACATAAACACAAGGATATGTCGAAACGCGCAGGTAGCAGCTGATGGGCTGATTATGTAGATATCTGATTCAGAGCGGCTTTGATTTCAGGTAAATACAATACAAGCACATGTGTTGAAGCGATGGCCGCATGCAGCATGGCGCACTTGATTGATGGTTATTCTAACCTGTGGGATTTGTAAATTGAATTAGAATTATTTGCATTTTTACAGTCTATGGATTTGAGATGTTGGAGAAGTGTTAGGTTACGAACCTTGTGTGACATACCAGTTAGTGCGTGTTGCTGTAACACGCCTGTGAGAGGGTTAGAGTGGTATTGATCGGAGGCCAGAGTTTGGGAGAAGAAAAAAATCCTTGTCAGCAGTTGTGCATGTAGTTGGTTAATAATATGTATTTTTTATTTTTAATACGATTATGTTGAGGATGAGGGAGTGAGGGATGAAGAGAGAGAGGGAATGATGGCGATCACGATGGAGTTTTTGATGTTAGTGTTAAAAGATACGTTCAATGTTCTCGTGGCAAGTTTCTGTCTGTATTGTTGGAGGTGCACTGGTATTAATACAAAGCGAGAAACTTAGATATTGCGTCTGTGTGATGATGTGAATAAGAATAAGAATAATAGTAATAATGCATTGAATAGTGCCTAATATTCCTCTGCTAGTTGACACTGGCGTTTGAACATACGATTTTATAGGGTTTCGTGGGAATAGGACATTTCAATAAAATGTTGAGATATTTTAATGGCATGGACCATTCGATATATAGACAAAATCAACCATGGTGCCACAAACGTCACAAACGGACATCCCCCCCCCCCCCCCCCCCCCCCCTTTGGTGATGTTTTAAAGATAAGACGATAGTACAGATGAAGATATGCTTAGGTTAATCATTTGATCATTTCTTGTTGATGATAATGGTTTTGTCGATGACGATGCTGATGCTGCTGACGACGAGGTCACTTAACGATTGATGACGCTGTTGATGACGTTAAATCCTAGGAATACTAACAGCAGTTTGGAGACATTTCGCAATATTTATATAGTTTTAACTATATCGTCGACCCTCTGACTCAAAAACATAACAAGAATAGTCTTTAAATATTTTTAATCTCGACTTTCCCAACCTTAATCGAAGGGACATCACTCCGACTTCCCTTGCCTGAGTGACTATTCTATTTTTTCTACCTCGGGTTCAGAGGGTATTAATTCATTCGGCGCAACTGCCCATTCGTCTGTCTCAAGCGGGATGTTACAGGAGAGGATGCTCTCGCTCTCTTGTTTCGTTACATAGACAGCAAGACACTGCTTGTCAACAACCAATGGTTCTGCGTCTCTATAACAAATAAATAAATTATTGTTATGCTTATTGAAATATGAATTCAATAATGAGCTTCACATTTTGTACCCATGTTGGGACTTGAACCCGGATAATTGGCGCGTCGAACGAACACCATATCCTGTCTCCTTTGACCCGGACAGCGAAAGACCAGAGTTTGATCTCCGGCCGCGTCAAGCTAAAAGACGTTAAAAGATGGTACTTGTTGTTACCCTTCCTGGTGCTCGGCATTAAGGGGCTACAACAATGAGTTCCGGGTAGGGGTGGGGGCGGTCGGGTAGCCTAGTGGTTAAAGCGTTCGCTCGTCACGCCAAAAACCTGGGTTCGATTCCCGACATGGGTACAATGTGTGAAGCCCATTTCTGGTGTCCCCCGCCGTGATATTGCTGGAATATTGCTATAAGCGGCGTAAAACCATACTCACTCACTCACTACAAACCAGGAAACATAATCAGGAAAATGGGTGAGGTGAAATGGGGTTTAACGTCGCGTTCTCGATTGTTGCACTTATATAGCGACGTTTGTTGGTTTGTTTGTCGTTTAACGCCGCACTCACGAATATTCCAGCTATATGACGGCGGTCTGTAAATAATCGACAAGTCAGTGATTGTCAACATGAGCATCGACCCACGCAATTGGGATACAATGACATGCATCAACCAAGTCTGACCACCCGATCCTGTTAGTCGCCTCTTACGACAAGCATTGGTTGCTGAAGATCTATTCTACCACGGATCTTCACGGGTCATATATAGCGACGTCCATATACGTGTGTGGGTGTGTGTGGCTGCTTGTACTAGTCCGGACTAACGCCTATTTTATAGTGCTAGCCCACTGATATTCCATGCTGAGCATGCTGAGACACACAACATACTGATTCCAAGCTCCTTATTTCCGAACGCCAGGCTGGGTAACAACATGTACCATCTTTAAACGGCTTTTGCAATTTGTAGAACTAGGCCGGGAATCGAACCCCAGACCTTCCGCTCTCCGAGCAGACGCACTACCACAAGGCCATGGAGACGGTCCAAATATCTTTAAAATAAAAGTGCTATGTATGCGATGTGTACCGTATGTAAATAAACATGCATTGCACTTACCCCTGTGTACCGAATGAACAATATTCCGACTATGTGGTATATTGAGGAACTGTAACTTGGCATCATTTCGTTTGTATGTACAGAATTGTGAAACAAGAAATACCTGAAATTGGCACGAAGGATTCCGTGTTGACATGACAGCGTTACTCCATTGTCCATGCGGTGATCTTCCCCGTTGAGCAACACCAAGTCCAGGAGGAGATCCATCATATCTGTTATATACCATCATATCTGTTTTATACCATCATATCCGTTATATACCATCATATCCGTTATATACCGTCATATTTGTTATATACCATCATATCTGTTTTATACCATCATATCCGTTATATACCATCATATTCGTTATATACCGTCATATTTGTTATATACCATCATATCTGTTTTATACCATAATATCCGTCATACACAATCATATCTGCTATATACCATCATATCTGTTATACACCATCATACCTGTTATATACCATCATATCTGTCATACACCATCATATCTCTTATATACCATCACATCCGCCATACACCTCCATATCTCTTATATACCATTATATACCATCATATCTGTTATATACCATCATATCTGTTATACACCATCATATCTGATATACACCATCATATCTGTTATATACCATCACATCCGCCATACACTATCATATCTGTTACATACCATTTTATACCATCATATCTGTTATATACCATCACATCCGTCATATACCATCATATCTGTTATATACCATCACATCCGTCATACACCACCATATTGTTATATACCATCACATCCGTCATACACCATCATATCTGTTATATACCATTATATCCGTCATACACCATCATATCTGTTATATACCATCATATCCGCAATACACGATCGTATCTGACAGACAGACATATTTATTTTGTATAAATGCCAAATGATCCATTGTACTAAATAAATTTACATCATATATATATATTTATCTAAGAGTTACCTAATTGATACTTTCTTTTGTTGAGAACACATAGATTAGAAATTTGTCATTGTATCATAAAATGGTTAATTGACAAATTGGATTATTTTCAAACAAAGATAATGATGGTTAACTGTCTTTGGGATTAATATTTCCCGCCGACTTGCATAAAGAGGACAACTGTACATGGCGCTCATCCTCAATGATATGGCAGTGTTTACACAAGAAAGCAGCATCCCCAATGTTAGGAAACCTACTACGGACAAGTTGAATAACAAGAGTATTTGTCCACGTCTAAATTTAGTTATTAGACGTCTATATTCACAATGCTTAATATTTGATAAATGTTTTTCTCACAAATGATAGAGATTTATGTAGTTTATAGAATGAGAGGGTCTTGATGCATAGAAATGCATGCGAATCTTGAAACGAACAATCTTTAACTCTTTCGCTGAACATATGTACAAATGATTATGTATTGCCAACTCTTTGTGCAACCCATACATCCCTACATGACTCAGCAAAAGATGATATGTATAGAACCCCAATCATCAACACGTATCGTACGGACCGTGAATATGCTGGGTAGAATAGGTCTTCTGCAACCCATACTTGCCGTAAAAGGCGATTATGCTTGTCGTAAGAGGCGACTAACGGGATCGGGTGGTCAGACTCGCTGACTTGGTTGATGCATGTCATCGTATCCCAACTGCGTGGATCGATGCTCATGATTTCAATCACTGGATTGTCTGGTCCATACTCAATTATTAAGATTATCGTTATATAGCTGGAATATTGTGCGGCGTTGAACAACACATCAACAAACAGGAAACACTTATCTTAAGAGGAGCCTACAGGAATCGAGTGGTTGGTCTCGGTGATATTGTGTTCATCCCTGTCCCATACAACCCCGTCCAGTTCCCCAACAGTCACAAAGAGTCCCAAACAAAGTCCCAAGTGACCTCTGCTTCTGTGTTTTTTAGGAGTGGCATTGTGAACGATTGCATAACGTTAAAGCAACCCCTGGTTCGTGTTAAGCTGTTCCAACATTGGGTATGAACCCCTCGTAACATGTAACACGTCTTCAGTGTACGGTACTCACTATCTTCGTGTATCTCCAGATCCGGCAGCACGCACTCCGTGGACACGCGTCTCCAACAACCAAACAGTACGATGAGCAGGGCGACTTTCATTGTGACCAGCGACCTGTTAATAATAATAATAATAACGACAACAACAACAACAATAATAATAATGTCGGTGTTGATTTTGTTGATGGTTCTGTACTGCTTGACGGTACAGAAATGAGTGTCAACCAAGCGAAGTGCCATATCAAGTCGGCCCTTTGTAAAGGAGAGGCTATTTGAACGACCACTGCATCGAGTTTATGTGCAGTGTGTTGAGAAGATAACAATCCTGCAGAGTCCTTTGCTTGGATGAAGTCGTCTGCCCTGAAAAGTGAAACAGAAGGCTTTCTGTTTGCTGCTCAGGACCAATCACTTCCCACTCGAAACCGTCAATGTGTGATTTTGCATCAAAATGTAAATATGAAATGTAGATTATGTAATGAATTTAATGAGACTGTCCAACACATTGTCCGTGGATGCCCAGCTTTGGCACAAACATAGTATCTTAAACGACATGGTGGTGTAGCTCGATCATTTTGTGCTTGTGGTTTTGACACAGAGATCCACCCATGGTACGACCCGGAATATGTAGAGGGCGTCATGGAAAATGACATATACAAAATTCTATGTAATAGGCCCGTATACAGCTTCAGATGTATCCAGGCCAACAAACCTGATCTTGTCCTTTTTGATAATTCAAATGAAATAATTTATATCATTGAATTTTCGGTCCCTTTTGACACTAATGCGATTGACAAGATTGAGGAAAAACATGGCAAATATGCAGACCTCGCTTTCGAAATGTCACGCTTGCATCCCAAGTACCAAGTTGTCCCACTCCCCATTGTTCCCGGTGCCTTAGGATTGCTACGTCTCAATGTGTTTTAATTTGTCGGTTATTAATTTATAAATTTTATGAATAAAACTCAAATAAAACCGCAACCCGATCTCAATACACTTTAACAAATATAAAGCAACAGCGGGGTACTTACATCTCACCTACCAGGTCGGGCGACTCTCCAGTGTAAGTGGAGCTGATCGAGCGGGCACACAATACATATGTTAAACGACGGTCATTTCCTCTAAAAAGTGTCGAAAACATCTGTGCAATAATCAGTGATTGTCGGTTTACATTAGTGTCGTGGCGTTTGATAGCTGTCAAATGCAGTGGTGAGACCTGGGGTATTGATCTGATGGCTGTATATTGCTGTATATTTACCTTGCACCGTAAACTGACACATCATGAGAGACATACGAAATACTTGGCATTTAAAGAAATAAGAGTTCGTGATCCGATGTACGAACTAATTTTGGTGGGTTTTTGTTGTTGTTTTGACCATACCCTTATTTCTAAGAATGCTAAAGACATAAATACATGATTCATTCGTTGTGTTAAAATTGTCGTATGGTATTGATTTTAAGCTCATATTAAATTGAATTTCGATTGTTTCAAAAACCTTTACGACTTTAATTGTTTTATTCCAGCAGATCCAGCCTTTGGTGTATACTTCTCACAACGTTTGAGGAACAACCAAGGATGCTCTTTCTCCGAAGATTTCAAAACGTCATTCAACTTTAAGGCAATCAAGGCCTTAGTAAAACTTTAAAAATATTTTACGATAATCATCGGGGGGACATTTCAAAATTTGACGATGAGTGACCAAAATTATGTTCGATGCAATTCTCTATTTTTACTTGTACCATATGTTCCCATGATGGACTTTGCATGTGTTTGTGACGGGTTCCACCGGTGAGGCAGGTTACGCTCACCCTTTCGGGAACACCTGGCATCATCACTGTTTGATAATGGTTCATAAACACATGCTGATGATATTGTCAGAATCGTACAAAGGACTCTGCTTTTAATCCAGAAAATGTGTATGATAACTAAAGGTTTACGCTTCTATCTTTGAGCCACTGTAAATACTTACATGTTATGATTCACATTCGGTATTGGGTATTATGGGAGTATTCAATATAGTGTTACTCGCGTGGTTCCAGACAATTTAGTGTTTCTTAAACCAGTGAGTATCTATAAATATATTTCTTCCTCAAATGATGTTTCACGTGACTTCTAATTTGCATCTGTTCATGTGCTGCCTCAAGTGTGTAACGACCGTGGAGATCCGGGGTAGAATAGGTCTTCAGCAACCCATGCTTGCCATAAAAGGTGACTATGCTTGTCGTAAAAGGCGACTAACGGGATCGGGTGGTCAGGCTCGCTGACTTGGTTGATGCATGTCATCGATCCCAATTGCGTGGATCGATGCTCATGGCATTAATCAATGGATTGTCTGGTGCAGACTTGATTATTTACAGACCGCCGTCATATAGCTGGAATATTGCTGAGTGCCGCGTTAAACAACAAACCAACCATGTTTGCTGAATATTTTTTACTATTGGCTAGCATTGTGCACAACCACCAGTAGCTAAAGTGATGACGTAAATCCTGCTTGGGTATCATGCAGGACGCCGAGGTAATGTAAGTCCCCATGATACCTAGCGAGGTGGCCTAGCTTTTTAACTGGTGGCCTATAGCCCGTGTTTTAAAACTGTATATATAATATTGTTATGCTCAAATATGTTTCATAAATTGTTTCGAAATATAGTATACTCAAATATGTTTCATAAATTGTTTTTAAATATAACTTTGTATAAATAACTCAATCGTGATTATATTAACTTGGTCTCGTCGCAAAATGGCTGGGATAATGCCGATGTGACGTTAAATTTTAACTCACTCACTCACGCCATGTTTGGGAAATGGAGATCACTTAGGTAATTCAGGTTTTATTTATTTCATGAAAAGATCTGGAAAGTTGAAAATATATTTAACAGTCATGACTAAAAATCCTCTTGTTGAAGTAAGCCACTGACTGAACATTTCGTATATCCCTTATATGCTTATATGGATGCATTTTGTCTGATATAATGTCTATGTAATTTACCATTATGAAATGTCACGGTATTGTTGAGTCCGAGCCAGACTTTCACTGGTCATTCTGAACAAAATTTAAACAAGTAAAATTGACGCAACAATAGGTCATCATGCAAAAATATAAAGAAATTATGTCTTAACCATGAAATGGTTAGGTAAGAGAAATCACTGTTGGATCTACTTTCGGAATCAACAGATTCTCATGATGTCTCTATTACGGAAACTGTATTATGAATTGTATAAACAAACAAGCGAGTACCTGCAGCGTAAAAGGTGACTATGCTTGCCTAATGGCGCCTAACGGGATCGGGTGGTCAGGCTCGCTGACTTGGTTGATGCATGTCATCGTATTGCGTGGATCAATGCGAATGATGTCGATCACGGCATTGTCTGCTCCAGACACGCTTATTTACAGACCGCCGTCATACAGAGGGAATATTGCTGAGTGCGGCTTTAAACAACAAACAAAAACATTGAGTGATTGAGTGAACGTTATTTTACGCCGCAATAACCACAGTACAACTATTTACGGCGGCCGGGATTATATAGTGAGTCAGTGGGTATGATGTGACGCCGCTTACAGCAATATTCTGGCAACATCGCAGCGGAGGGCCCCAGGGCTTCAAGCAGAAATATTGCTGAGTTTCAGTCAGAATTATCTTTTTCACTCAGCGATTCAAAGCATACAATTTTTACTTTTTTCGGAACATCTAGTATGGCCAGAGCACCATCCACGTACCAGTTTCTTTCCAGCAATTACGGGAAAAGATTATTTGCTAACGTATCCAACCAATCCACGCCTCCTCCAAGAATATCAAATTGTCATCCCCTCTGCTTTATTGCTGCACTGCTCCTGATGGAAACAATCATCTGGTAGTTCATTTGGCCTGAATGGCTTCATCGTAACAATAATAATACACGTTCATTTCGTTACGTTGACTCTACAGCTGAAAGATTGATACATGTATGTCGACGAGCTAGACGAATCATCAGATCACACAAATATCCTAAGGATGCTATGATTTATTAATTTCTGTCCTGTCTGGTTATTGCACGCGATCCTCCATCAGGCCACACGATCACGCCAAGCTCTTTGATCCCCAATGCCGCTGATGTATTGATGCGGGGGTTGCATCGCGGAGCAGGACAGACGCCGGAGTCTTCTTCGCGTGCATCGATGTGGCTTACCTAAACACGCCACTTGCAATAACCCATGCCCACACGATGACGGGCGTTGATCGTGGTTGCCGGTGTTACCCGTGCAAGTAAGCAGTATTAGAGAGCAGTATCTGAGAACACTAGAGAGAGCTGTATCAAGAACTTGCTGAAGGCGAAAGCTGTACAAAGGACCGAACATTTCATTATCTTGGTTAGGGGCCGGCTGAGATTTTGTACAGAGATTGGATACCTTTTTAGCTACAGCTACACCAGATATGTTTGTATTTATAACTATGAATCTGAATTTTGTTTTAAAGTTAGTGGGTATGTTTTTACGCCGCTTTTGGTAATATTCCAGCAATATCACGGCGGGGGACATCAGATATGGGCTTCACATATTGTACCCATGTTGGGAATCGAACCCGGGTCTACGGCGCGACGTGTGAATGCTTTAACCACTAGGCTACCTGACCGCCACTTTGTGTCAAAGAAAATCACCTTGCAAAATAATAATAAAATGAAATAACGAAAAACAAAAATGCTGCGGATTCGTTTGTCAAAGGCCCTATATTAAACAACTACAGTATTGCGGTCAAATACACTGAAACCCACTTAATAAATATCAGCAGGTTCATACTATGGGGTACTATGTCCAAAAGTTGATCTTTTCAGTTCTTTTGAATAACAAAAAAACTAACCAGCACCGTGTTCGTTATTCAGTTTATGTCTAATCTATTTCAAGAAGGTATTCAGTTATTACGTGTTGTCCAGTAACTGGAATCTAAACATCACTAACATTTGGTATTCTATCTCTTTGTCCAATCATCTTTCATCAATAACTGTATTCAGTCGGATTCATTTTGGCAGGACCCGTGAAGATCTGGGGTAGAATAGGTCTTCAGCAACCCATGCTTGCCGTAAAAGGTGACTATGCTCGGAACGATGCTCACGATGTCAATCACTGGATTGTTTAACCCAGATTCGATTTACAGACCGCCGTCATATAGCTGGCATATTGCTGAGTGCGGCGTAAAAAAAACAAGCCAATCAACCCACCGAATCCACATACCATGGGGTCTAGTACCAATGTAGTTAACGTTGAGGGTCTGTATCAATAGGAGATTCCCCTTCCACCAAGCTGACATGGACCCGTGAAGATCCGGGGTAGAATAGGTCTTCAGCAACCCATGCTTGCCGTAAAAGGTGACTATGCTTGTCGTAAAAGGCGACTAACGGGATCGGGTGGTCAGGCTCGCTGATTTGGTTGATGCATGTCATCGATCCCAGTTGCGTGGATGGATGCTCATGATATTGATCACTGGATTGTCTGGTCCAGACTCGATTATTTACAGACCGCCGTCATATAGCTGGAATATTGCTGAGTGCGGCGTTAAACAACAAACCAACCAACCAGCCAACCAAGCTGACATGCTGTAAATGAACTCACTCACTCACTCTAACACACATGTCCACCCAGCAGTAAATGGGTACCAGGTAGGGGTAATAATGGTGTAGCGCTTTGAGCATGTCCTTGTGTTGTGTTGAAACATAAGGCAATATAAAAGACATTATTATTACTATTTTGTGCTTTTTAATTTTATTTTTTTATAACATTAATTCATCGAATAAACAGCCACTTGCGAATAGTTCTACGATATTTTATTCAGCACGTTCGTAAACCAACCTATCGAATTCAGTAATTAGTTAGTTCTCAGTCAGTGCAGGACTTTTATAACCATCAAAGCAGCAACAACACTGCTCACAAGTCCTGTTAACATCGTAGATCCGGAAGGAGTAGTCGTCTTTGTCTTTGGTGTTGTGTGTTTCGTAGTTGTCATCGACGTTGTCGGCCTTGGTGTAGGCGTTGTTGTAGGCGTTGTTGTTGCTGGCGGCGTCGGAGGTGCAACTGTTGTCGTTACTTCCCAGGTGCAGTCCGTGCTTGGTGGGAAGGTAAAGCTAGTTCCGGACTTCTCGTGAAGAAGGAAATTTGAACATCCAGAGGGACTGGACGTTTTCGATTCTGACGTCACATTACCGTCGACGGCGTAGGACAGGGTAACTTCCTCTGATGGTTTACCCCTCAAGGTCAAGGCCACGGCATCACCCGTCACCCATATTTTGAATATCCTCTGCGGGGACATTGGCACCCATTTGTTCAAGTCACCTATGATAACCACCTCTGTCGCTCTATCAAAAGAAAACTTATAATGATAATTATAATAACACAATCTTGTTTTGGTACACGTTTTCATGAAAATGGCTCAAACTCAAAACAAAACGTTCCAAAATATAAAACTTCTTACTTAATCCCTGTCAAAAGAAATTATGTATTTAAATCACTGAAAAACATTATGTTGTTGTTTGTTTGTTTGCTTGTTGTTTAACGCCGCTCTCAGCAATATTCCAGCTATATGACGGCGGTCTGTAAATAATCGAGTCTGGAACAGACAATCCAGTGGTTAATATCATGAGCATCGATCCACGCAATTAGGATACGATGATTTGCATCAACCAAGTCAGCGAGCCTGACCACCCGATCCTGTTAGTCGCCTCCTACGACAAGAATACAAAAAGAAATTATGAAAATGTACAAGAACTCTCATGTCTATATGATGTCATACCTGGTATGGGGTCGGTGGAGTAGCCTATTATTAAAGACCCGGGTTCGAATCCCCACATGGGTACAATGTGTGAAGCCCATTTCTGGTATCCCCGCCGTGATATTGCTGGAATATTGCTTAAAGCTGCGTAAACCCATACTCACTCACTCACTCAAAGATACCCACCCCACGGTGATGACAGGCGACGTGTAGTAGAGGCAGTAGTAGGGGTCGTCGTCCAGGCTGCACGCGGGAATGCTGAAGGGATGCTGGTCGTCAAAGTCCTCCATCGTACTGGTATCATTTGCAAGAAATATTTTGCTCCGCGAGTACTGAAAAAGGATTTACGGTGTTAAATTTAAGCATTGCCCGCTAGTATTGACCATATCACACCAAAGTGCTGTGTTATGCAGTTTAAACACCAATACATTTAATTAGAATGTGAACCATGTCGGTACGCTATTTATCCCCAGCTAAAATAAAGAGTCATATTTTGCTTCGGGAAAAAACATGTTATTTACATATACCGTAAACTGCGTTTATAACGAACACGCTTATAACGAACTGATGGTTATAACGTTAACTGTTAATCCCTTAGCGGGGCTCCTCACGTGTCACAAATCAATACATCCGCGGTCCGGCGCGGCTGTTCAAAGCGTCAATAAACAACTGGAGGTAAGTGATTTACGTTGAAGCACTGACACCTTGTCCTCAAATTACACCCTCAATTAACAATACTAACACAGTGATTGAAGTGGATATATTCTGTACATGTACACTTTTGTTATTTATCGAGTAACATGATGTCACATGACTTGATAAAAGATGACTGACGGTTGAAATGCGTATATCGAACGACGGATATAACGAACTAAAATTAGTGGTCCCTTTGAGTTCGATATTACCGCAGTTTACTGTACATGTATTTACTCCGGGGAGACACTCACGAAGAAATTTGTTTTTGTTTTTTTCACTGAGATCAACAATTAAAGTCTCTTGTTTTCAAAAGGAGGGTGTGTGGTCGTACCACCTTGCCCTACCCCTACTCCATCCCGACTATCAACACAATCATTTCCCTCCAGCCAAACTTATTCGAAGTACATTCATATAAAAGAAAGTCAAGCTTCCATCACCTGCACCTAATGTCTGTCGAATAACATGATGTGTTTTCCTTTTGTTCTCACTTTTGAAAACATTCCCGACGTGGGTACATTGTGTGAAGCCCATTTCTGGAGTCCCCATTCGTGATATTGCTGGAGTATTGCTAAAAGCGGCGTAAAACCATACTCACTCACTCACTTATTTTTGAAAACAAAGCAGGCGAATCGTACCTCATCGGTGTACGTTATGACATCGGCCGCTCTGCGTGTGATGTTGTATGGAGTGGACGTATTGGCAGCAAAGATGATTCCGAATCTGAGGTGTACGTCATCAAACTGTGTGTAGGTCGTCCAAACCTCACCGTCAGGGCCGCTGCCATCTTGGAATGCTGCCTTGAAGAATGATAGAAAACATGTAAGCTATAATTGTATTTTAAACACTTCTTTGTTGATGCTTAACTATATATTAATACTAATATGAACAAACATAGCAACATGTAGTGTTTGATTTAAACACTGTTGTTTACACTGGGATGGTCGTTGCACAGATCAGAGCTGTGATAGAGGGTTCGAATATTATGGTTTATTTGTCAGACAAACACACACACACACACACACACACACATGAAGCTAACACAAAGCATTGTAAAGCGCAACTCACTCACTCACTCACTCACCCACCCAAAGCCACCCACCCACTCACTGACTCACTCACTCACTCACTCACCCACCCACCCACCCACTCACTCACTCACTCACTCACTCACTCACTCACTCACTCACTCACCCAAAGCCACCCACCCACTCACTCACTCACTCACTCACTCACTCACTCACTCACCCACTCACTCACTCACTCACTCACCCACCCAAAGCCACCCACCCACTCACTCACTCACTCACTCACTCACTCACTCACTCACTCACCCACCCACCCACCCACTCACTCACTCACTCACTCACCCACCCACCCACCCACTCACTCACTGACTTACTCACTCACTCACTCACTCACTCACTCACCCACCCACCCACCCACTCACTCACTCACTCACTCACTCACTCACTCACTCACTCACCCACCCACCCACCCACTCACTCACTCACTCACTCACTAACTCACCCACCCACCCACTCACTCACTGACTAACTCACTCCCTCACTCACTAACTCACCCAGCCAGCCATCCACCCAGCCACCCAGTCACTCACTCACCCACTCACCCACCCACTCACTCACTCACTCACTCACATGACCATGGAACATACTTCAATTATTTGATCGTCTACAGCCGTCGCCGGTCGGGAAGGTTTTAATATCAGCCCGTCTTCGTTACAGCACCTGCAGAATGGCATGAGTATCTCACACATCAGTTGTAATGGCATATAGCGTCCATGTCTGTCCTGTACTATTACTTCTACTGGGGGCATGGAAGATCACGTGGTCTAATGTCCAGCAATTCAAAGATGAGGTGAGGTGAAATGAGGTTTAAGGTCGCGTACAAAATTATTGCGACGTGCAGGAACGTGTGGCTGTTTGTACTAGTCCGGACAATTGATATACCATACTACAACTACTACTACTACTACTACCATAACTACAACAACTACTACTACTACTACTACCATAACTACTACTACCCATACTATTACTGCTGCTGCTACTACTACTACTACTACTAGTACTAGTAATACTAATACTAATACTGCTACTACTACAAATAATTATACGTCTGCACTACTTTACTGCTACCAATACTACTGAGACTACCAATACTACTACTATTACTGCCACCACCACCACTACTACTAATTCTGTCCTACTACACTTCCTTCCATGTTCCTTTGCTAAATGTTTTTACAAGGGGTATGTTTATCTCTCCAAGCTATCAATTAACTCTGGGGGGTGTACGGTAACCCTTAAAACGTTCGCCCGTCATGCGGGTTTCCCTGGTCCCATTTCCACGGTACATGGTGTAACAGCCCCACCTCATGAGCAGATCCTTGTCTGTGCCGTTGATCCTGTCCCCTGGTCCGACCGGCCCTGTACTCAGTACCGCCACCAGAGTCTGTATCATGGGATAGGGCTCTGTTGCATCTGGAACCAATAGCATGCGTTGGTTATCAATGTGTAAAGTGAAAGTTTAATATGTAAATAAAAGCATTTAATTTTGAAGCATTATGATGACGTCCTGCTATTGTTGTTGCAGTTGATTCAAAATTTAAACAAGTAAAATTGACGCAATACAGGCATAGAGAAACGTACAGAGAAATTATGTATATATAGACGTCATAACATGGTTTAAGTCAGATAAGTCATGCGAATATGTCGCCTCAGGGAGTAGAATCAGTAGGATGATTTCTCCATTACATAAGGGTCTGGTCATTCATTATTGGGGAGTGGGGAGGAGAGGGTGGAGTTTGCCAAAAATGACACAGGGAAAGGGGGTTCGGTCGCAAATATTTATCACAACACTAGGGGGTTGGGCATGAAAAGATTTAAAAAAGAATTTGGAAAATATGTTACATAAAATGGGTGTGGGTGTCGGCAAAATATGATAGAGCTAAGCAGTGATGCGTATTTGCTGAGTTTAACGCCACTTCTGTGTTCTCGTTATATCACGCTGTGTAATCTGAATGTGGGAACACAACATGGCATTCCCCGATCACCACCTTGCTGAAAATCACAATCACGAATATAGAACCGATAGGCAAAAGATAATAAATTTTCTGGATTCGAAATCACAACCTTCGGATCTAGGCACGGGAAAGGGGGGTTACTCTGTACATGAAGTGCGGTGCCATGATGGCTTGTCCCACCGTGCTCCGAAGCTGGTAATTGTTAAACAACACTTAAGATTTCATGTGTGAACAGTGTATGTTGCAAGTACAACAATGTACCAGTCCGATCACTAAATGGACCGCCTCCGTGGTCTAGTGGTAGAGCGTCCGCCTGGAGAGCGGAAGGTCCGGGGTTCGATCTCCGGCCGCGTCATACCAAGACGTTAAAAGATGGTACTTGTTGTTACGTATACTAGTACAAGCAGCCACACACACACAAGTGCATGCACGTCGCTATTTAAGTGCAATAATCTTGGACGCGACGTTAAACCCAATTTCACCTCACCTCACCGATCACTAATAATATATTCTGTTATACATAAAACTCACTTTGAATACCACAAATACGTACTTTTATTTCTCGACACATCTCCTGGGGTAGTATGGGAACCATTCTTTCTATCTGATCAACAAACAAAAATCAATTCAGTACAGATCCAGACGTCGCAGAGAATTTATTTTCTTAAAACGATGTAGAACTTTAGTCCAAATAGCTAATTCATTACGATCAGATCGTACCGCTAAACATACGCTTGACATCCCATTACAGATCACGTCAGAATGACCTTTCACGAACTTTGACCCACCAATGAATGACAAACAAGAAGTCGATAAAAAAAATAGCAGCTTACTATGGAAAGTGTCTTCCGTTTCAAATATTTTTCCTATTTAAGCAAGAGACAGACGATGATTTTGACGGAATTAATCGTTCAGCCCGTAACTGTCGTTCGGAATAATAATAATAATAATAATAATAATAATAATAATAATAATTTATGCATTTGTATAGAGCAGCATTCACTGTGCATAGGTGCTCTGTACACTGATACCCCGTGTTAACCTTTTTCGAGGTTGCATGATTAGAAAACACATTCCGACGGTCACTTTCCCTATTTGGTAAGGGACGGTCTGATTGGTCAGTCAGTCCAATGTGATGTCCTCGGATCTTTATTTTGAGGTAGCGAGAACTAAGATCTGATTTTAATGAGATTGGTCCGAAAGGTAGTCTTGTCTTGTCGTCCGTTATTAAAGCATATCCGGGAAAACTCGCAGAGAACAATGTAGAACGAAGTGTGGTTTATTACATGATAACATATTGTTCTATCATGACGTCATTTCCGGGGATTCGAACATGCGCTCCAAACTTGATGACGTCGTAAATTGGACGGCGTTATTTTTGAGAGGGAGTGTCTAGCGAGTTGTTCCCCGTAGATGTAGCTGGGCTACGCAGAGAAACGAAATGACCGAACGATCGCATCCGAAAACGGAAGAGTTATGATGACTGTCATTGGGAGAACAGGTACAGGTAATCGACGTAAGGATTGTGAGAATATGCGGGAAATACCCACCTGTGCATAAAATAGACTTGTCCGACATTGCCGAGGTCGGATTCTATTGAGGGAGTCATCATTATTAAAAAGCTCGTAGTTTGATATCTCATATAAGAAATAAACGACTCGTGGTCGTTGTTTAGAGTACAGTAAAACACTGCAGGGAGAATAATCCACACGGGACTGCGCCCCTCATATTTTATTCTCCTGCAGTGTTTTACTGTACGATAAACAACGACCACGACGCGTTTATTTCTCATACATAAATATTATGAATCTGTATTAACGGGGTCCGGATTAACGAGGTTTTACTCTTCGACTCTTTCTAGGACTGCGAGGTCTATTTGCAGGAACACTTTAACGAGTATTTGCATTGCCGGGCACTGACCATATGGGTTTCCAGGCTGCATTTCCGTTGTCCAAAATGTGTCTTTAGAAGGGGCGAGACCCAAGGAGTATGCGAATAGTGACGTTATTCCGATCTTCCACTGGTCATCTAACAGCTGGTAGTCGTCACTGGCCCGGGCCTGGAGGACATAGGGAGTGTGTTACCAGTGGCAAGGTGACCGGTGTTACCAATGGCGAGGTCACCGGTGTTACCAGTTGGTAGAGGAACACAATAAATTGTAAAAACTCTTTACCGCATATAAATTATAACGTTCATGTTCCACGTTTGCCATTGTACAAGGTGTACTAAAATATATTATTCAAAAGATAGTATGTGGGTGAGTATAGTTTTACGCCGCTTTTAGCAATATTCCAGCAATAGCACGGCGGGGGACACCAGAAATGGGCTTCACACATTGTACCCATGTGGGGAACCGAACCCGGGTCTTAGGCGTGACGAGCGAACGATTTAACCACTTGGCTACCCCACCGCCCCTCAAACGACAGTATGGATAAAGATATGTATAATGGGGGCACGAATGGCCATTTCGTCTAGGGCGCCACAATTCGCCGTGCAGAGTCGCTTCCCTCATGTGTGCTGGATTCTGTGATCATGGGTTCGAAACCCACATTGGCCCTATTATGTTTCCAGGTTTGACCGTACCATACCATCGCGAGATCTGCATCGCTTCCGGCTGACACGTTGATATAATACTGTTGAAAGCGACGTCATAGCAGGCCCACAGTCCTGGATGTGGCACCATCAGACTCTGTATGGCTTCTCTGGGCAGGGAAATACAGTACTGGATGTGGACTCACCTGTGTAACTGTGAGTACCATCAGATTCTGTATGGCTTCTCTGGGCAGGGACATACAGTACTGGATGGGGACTCACCTGTGTAACTGTGGGCACCATCAAACTCTGCAGGGCTTCTCTGGGCAGGGACATACAGTACTAAATGTGGACTCACCTGTGTAACTGTGGGCACCATCAAACTCTGCAGGGCTTCTCTGGGCAGCGACATACAGTACTGGATGGGGACTCACCTGTGTAACTGTGGGCACCATTAGACTCTGCAGGGCTTCTCTGGGCAGGGAAATACAGTACTGGATTTTGACTCACCTGTGTAACTGTGGGTACCATCAGACTCTGCAGGGCTTCTCTGGGCAGGGACATACAGTACTGGATGGTCATGCCATTGTTCTGTGCACCTTTCCCCATCTGCTCCAGCCACCGTTGACCAAGTGTCAGGTTATTTTGCAAGGCTTCCAGTCCTAAAAGCTGGGCATTCAGCCAATCCTGTCAAGATACAGTCAGACATTAAACTTAAGACTTAAATGTTTCAATATACGTACGTGGAACAACATGGGAGCTATCAACACAAAAAAATATTCAAGCCGTTCCCAGTGACTGCACCAGGTGTAAGCGAATTTTGTAGCAAGTCCTTGATCCAAGATGAACTGTTCACAGCTATGTCTGTGCAATCGTTACCCAAGTATAAATTTTGCTCCATATAGGTTGCAGGTGTGTATTCGAACCCGGATTCTCCACGGAGTACCTCAGTAATACCATGGGTACGGGTGTAATACCGGCCTCTTGTGTGTTCATAATTGTAACCAAGCGGGCACATGACTTTGTTTCAATGTTGAAATTTAGTTCATCTGATGATGTTACATTGAAAACCATCGCATCCACATTGTTTCAACATTGGCCTATCCATATTTGAAAATATGTTGAAGTCTAACATTGAATCAACATTGCCATTTCGATATTAATGTGTTGATAAGATTTTTTCTTTCTCTTTCCTGTCAGTCTGGAGGACAAAGAAGCAGATGGTTGATGGACCAAGGGAGATAATGCTGCCTTCTCGCTGCTATCTACATGGTGTTGGAAGATACAGATTCTTAATTCGGTGTGTGAACTGACATCAGATACTCAACAGCAGGAGACCGTTCAGGATGTACCAAAAGACTGTTCAAAATGATAGATGTGCCAAAGACCATAGGATGGTACTCACAGATGTGTTTCCTTAATATGATTGTGGAACCGTGAAGATCCGGGGTAGAATAGGTCTTCAGCAACCCATGCTTGCCGTAAAAGGCAACTATGCTTGTGTAAGAGGCGACTAACGGGATCGGGTGGTCAGGCTCGCTGACTTGGTGGATATATGTCATCGATCCAAATTGCGATTGATGCTCATGATATCAATCACTGGAATGTCTGGCCCAGACTCGATTATTTACAGACCGCCGTCATAGCTGGAATATTGCTGAGTGCGGCGTTAAACAACAAACCAATCATATGATTGTGCAGTAGACTGCACTTACAGAATTGAAGGGACACTTTGGCTATAAACCACAAGCAACCAAAGCTAACTGGACGATGCCCAAGCAGGATTTCCCTCATCACTTTAGAGATAAACTTTACGTCCATGCACGTCGCTATGTGACCCGTGAAGATACGGGTGAGATGAGGCCTTCAGCAACCCATGATTGCCGTAAAAGGCGACTAACGGGATCGGGGGTCAGGCTCGCTGATGCATGCATGTCATCATATCCCAATTGCATTGATCGATGCTCATGATGTCAATCACTGGATTTTCTGGTCCATACTCAATTATTTACAGACCGCCGTCAAATAGCTGGAATATTGCTGAGTGAGGCGTTAAACCACCAACCAACCAACAAACACACGTCGATATGTAAGTGCAGCAATCTTGAACGCGACGTCAAACCCCTGTTTCACCTCACCTGTGATGCGACGGGGCAAACTCTGAGATTTTACTACCGCTTCAGCCACTTACCTGTTCGTAGAGAATCAGACCCCAGCCTTTGGCCATTTTAAAGAAGTCATCCCAGAAAGACTGCAAAATAGGTAGTGTTGAATACGTTAGGATTCGCGAATATGTGACATTATAAAAAAATATATTTTATAATATAAGCATCTTGTATACAAAAGATGCTGGGAATAATCAACACATGAAGGGAGGTGTGAGAAAATGGTATTGCAAATGGATTTCATTGTTAAGTTTGAGTTGGAAAACTTGAGATTTATGTAAAGAAAAGAAAACTAATTACAATTAACAATTTTAGTGCTGGTAGAAAGTAAGTGGTCCGATGTCACCATGGTAACGTGATTTTAAATGAAGGAAAATGTGAATAGACTTGAACTCGTCAAAGTGGGTTCGCTTAGAAACGTAACAGAATCGCATTCGTGTGTTTACATTTACAAAACAGACCCAAGTGGTTTATCTGACTGGTTCAATATTTCTATGTTCTTCAGCAGATGATTATAAAGACGGGTTAGGGAAGGAACACGCTACATCAATGATCGTAAGGAACTTTTTTCAGCAGTAATGAGGTTTATTCCAATGGTAATGGAGCTGACGTTTACCACTTTTGTGAAACCCACGAGCACGGGGATGGTGCTGACAAACCTAGAAACATAATCGGGGCGAACCGGGATTTGAACCCACAATCATAGGTTTCTGGCGTGCCCAAGGGAGGCAACTGTGCACTGCGAATCGCGGCGCCTTAGACGACTGGGCCACCCGTGCCCCACGCAACACAGATGAAATCATTATAATTAAACGTGAGATAATTAGGTCGGTAAGATAAAAGTCCTTCTTCACAGATCTCTTGGTGTATATGGTGTGAAGTACCCTGTATGCGAGTCTGTATACCCGAGACGGAAGGGGTACAAAGGCTCTCACCAAAGATACATCACACCATTATTATAACCACTATAATTGCCATTTATGTCAGTGATATAATATATGTCAAACTCGCCTGGTCATCAGGTAAAGAGATAAGGTCCTCGACAACAAAGTTGTACTTTCCGCCATTTTGCTTGGCATACGTGGCATTGCGGGACCTGTGGGAAATAAAGCGGGACTTCTGGGTGTGCCTTTTGAAAGGTTTATTTTTTAACATTATATTTTTAGTTTGGAGCCGCATAAATAAATTTGTAAGAATGGAAATTCTTTGCAGGATTGACGAAGGGAAAAGCATACATGTTCTGATAATAACATAATAATAACATATAAAGCGAAAACTTCCATTATGCTTTTAACATGAAGAAAGCGTATTGTAATATCGATCACTGGATTGTCTTGTCCAGACACGATTATTTACATCCCACAGTCAAATAGCTGCAATATTGCAAATGCAGAGTGCAACGTCAAACAACGTACAAACGCGCGCACGCACTCAGCAAAAGTCCAGCTTTTTTACGGTGGTCTGTAAATAATCGAGTCTGGAAATCCTGTGATTGACTTCATGAGCATCGTTACACGCAATTGGGATACGATGACATGCATCAACCAAGTCAGCGAGCCTGACCACCCAATCCCGTTAGTCGCCTCTTACGACAAGCATAATCGCCTTTTACGGCAAGCATGGGTTGCTGAAGACCTATTCTACCCCGGATCTTCACGGGTCGCCGGTCAATGTGGCACAGTGTTAATGGTAGTGGCATTCTGGGGAATATACAAGTGTTTTTTAAATGAAGTTACTGTTTGAATATAATTTATTCAACTGAGGTATAGGATGTCAAAGCTACAAATGTAAATAAGTTGTATGTTGTGTGAAATAAGTGAACTTACCAGTATCTGTTGTGCGCAGCAAACGGAAGACCAATCTTTTTATGCAGAAACCTGAAACAAACACGTAAAATGAGAAACTGCACAAAGCATTGTATCAAATGGCAGTCAGAATACTAGTAATTAACGTCAATGCTTTTTTGTTTGTGTGTTACTTGACGCCACACTCAGCAATATTCCAGTTGTAAATAATGAATGCTGGACAAGACAATCCAGTGATTACCATCATGAGCATCGATCTACGCAGTTTGGGATACGATGACATGCATCAACCAAGTCAGCAAGCCTGACCACCCGATCCCGTTAGTCACCTCTTACGACAAGCGACAGTTGCTGAAGACCTTTTCTAACCGGGATCTTCAGGGGAACGTCAATACCTAATTGGTATCTGTTCCTCTTGTCGCAAAGACAGGACCAGGAACCTAACAAAGCAGAGGGTAAACGTTCAAGAACGCCCCCTCACAAACGTTAACGTTAACAGTTAGAGTAATAACTTCAGGTATTCGCGAAACGGATTTGCCTCCGTGATGTGTAAAGGTGAAGGTCACGGGATTGTTGGTCTTGGGTACATACTATTGACACTATCTACGATATTTACAAAACTATCAGACAAGCTGCTGAATATCACAAAATGTTGCTTACTGTAGACCATGAGGAAAAACACTCGGCATGGCCGACCATGACGTCACACCGTTAAGACCGCCCTTGTAATACCACCAGGAGTCAAGCTGCATGTATCTGTTGAGATGATAATAATAATAATAATAATAATAATAATAATGACGACGACGACGACGATGATGATGATAATATTAATAATAATGATAGCACTTGAACAGGGCTACAAGTCGATACAGTGAGGTCTGTATGTGGAACAACTGCGTTGCCTTGTTCCACGGCGCGGGTAAGTTTAGAGTGAGTGAGTGAGTATGGTCTTACGCCGCTTTTAGCAATATTCCAGCAATATCACGGCGGGGGACACCAGAAATGGGCTTCACACATTGTACCCATCGTGTGGAATCGAACCCGGGTCTTCTGCGTGACGAGCGAACGCTTTAACCACTAGGCTACCCGACCGCCCCGGTAAGTTTAGAAGTAAGCAATGTCTTCATATACACCAACTGACATCCGAACTTAATACTCAGAGACGGATGGATACAAGGGTGGGGTAACGGGCAACACCACCACCACCCCCTTAAACGGGTACCGCTCCTTATATTACAAATATTTGCTTGTGTTTGAGTCCGCTTCGGTCAACATGGTCCGTTTCCATCATGGTGGCAGTGTCGTAAAATACAACGTTTGTCAATCAGAACGGATATTTCGTTCATGTGATATGGAATATTCACGACAGGGGACGAGCGGCCAACTCACTTGTATGGTACACCCATCTGGTCGCTGTAAGCCTTGACGTCTATCAGAGTCTGCTCGTAGTCCGTGACGTTGTTCTCGGTGTGGTAGTAGTAGTAGGCGCCTGGATGGAGAGCGAATTGAACTCATGTAATAAATAGTGAGCGAGTGAGTGAGTGAGTATATATATATACCACGGCAGAGGACACTAGAAATGGGCGTCACACATTGTACCCATGAGGGGAATGACGGGCGAACGCTTTTACCATGATGAGGGGGTAACCTCCCCTCGCCCCCATGGAATGAATAGGATAAAGGAACCCATACCAACAAAAAAAACTAAAGAAAACCCAAAACTAAATTAGATTTACAACAACAAAAAGTAACAAAATGAAACAGAACCAAACAAACCATATTGATGAATTACGTGGGATAAGGTGTGTACAATCGAAACGGTAACCACGATAAACAAAGCCTTCCTCTGGAAACTCTGAGATCAAGAGGACTCATCAATTGAATTTTAGATGGAATGAGAGATTTTACGACGCTTTGATCAATTCCGTAATGAGTGAAAATCCCAACACGTATTGGCTTGTGATTATTGACGTTGTGAGGGGTTCAGTTACGCCCGATATCACGTGACACTTGTTGACATACCAAGAGTCATGATCGAAGCGAAAAGAAAATTCGTACACACGACCTTTGAACCGATCTAAGGGACACCACTCTGCACGGCGCAAAATAGAGCTTCCTGTTCTCAGTGTCATTCCGAAAAGACGAAACTTAACAATTCTTCACACGTTGAGAGTTTAAAATACTATATTAATCATCATTATTATTGACACAGTCTTTCTTTTTCATCAACCGAGGGAACGCCATTGATGGGATAGGTGTGATCTTAGGGCGTTTCCTTCTGAGTGAGTGAGTGATTATGGCTTTACGACGCTTTTAGCAACATTCCAGCGATATCAAGGCGGGGGACACCAGAAATTGTACCCATCGTGTGGAATCGAACCCGGGTCTTCGGCGTGACAAGCGAACGCTTGAAACCACTAGGCTACCCTCGCCTCTGTCTCCTTCTGATGGAAATGTATTGTATATGTATAGGTTACTACGTACATGTGTATTATAACCTGAATGAAATTATTACACATACAAAGCATTGTTACGAAGATTTTTTAATGTGTTGTGTCCTTACCATTATCTGTCCAGTACCCAAGGTAGTTAAGCGTTTGATCCATCTTCTTGTAGTAATCGGTTTTGTCATACCAATACCGCATGCGCGTTCCGAGGTCCTCAAATGCCTTGAAAGAACAAAATATTGGTAAAGTAGACACAAGATATTGATAACAACTTTCTATATTTACTGTAAAGTTGACGGGTCGGTATAGACCCTTATACCGTTGTCAAGCAAAGATCTATACCGACACGTCGCCTTTACAGTAAATGATGAAGGTAGATTATTCCCCAGATATCGGCCTGGTTGCAAGTTCCTGAATTGAGGGAAGGTGCAAAGGTAGATTATTCCCCAGATATCGGCCTGGTTGCAAGTTCCTGAATTGAGGGAAGGTGCAAAGGTAGATTATTCCCCAGATAGAGGCCTGGTTGCAAGTTCCTGAATTGAGGGAAGGTGCAAAGGTAGATTATTCCCCAGATAGAGGCCTGGTTGCAAGTTCCTGAATTGAGAGAAGGTGCAAAGGTAGATTATTCAACAGATAGGGGCCTTTTTCCGAAGGCTGCTGTCACCAATTACTGTCTTGGTCCTGGATGAAATAACATAACTATGACATTCTCAGTCTGTGAAATTTGGAAGAGAGAATGATCAGTTCCGTTTTGTCCTTATTCAGTTGAAGCTAGTTGTGAGCCATGCACCTCCCGTTATCACCAATTGAGCCACAAACACCCTCGATGGAAATGGGCCACCAATAGAAGAGATGACCCCAACATATTAAAACGTAGCGGTGTGGGTGGCCCTGTCGGCTAAATGGGTGCAATTCGCTATGCGGAGTTGCGTCTCTTAGATGTGCCTGGAACCGATGATTTATGGGTAGGAATCTCAGATTCGCCCTGATATGAATCTTGGTTTGTTTTCTTTGGTTTTGTTCAAAGTCGAGTCAAAGCCCACACAAACACACTATTAAAACGTACCTTGTTGATGCCTTTATCATTGGTATGTAGAACTACGGTGATTTCAAACCCAGCGGGCACTGTGTCAACGTCTCCCATAATTCCCCAGTTGACCGTTGACGTCACGCTGTCGTAATACATTGACACCGCCATAAAGTTGGTGAAGGCCTGGATGAGAATTGTGTTACCATCCCTATCAAACAGTACCAGAGGCCCTCCGATCAGTCCTCCATTCACGTCCAGTGTCTTCGGACCCCATCTGGAACAGACACAGGATCAGCCACCCGTAAACACTTTAATATTAACCGCCGGGCACCGCAAAACATAAATATGCTACACGTATCAGAGACCGTGAAGATCCGTGGTAGAATAGGTCTTCAGCAACCCATATATATTAGCTTCGCTCCAATTATGATTAATCATTCACTCACGAAGTGGTTAACTGATCCATATTAACGAAATGCATATCAGCTATGCGTTAACATATTCATTATCAACAGATGATACCACATAGTTGTTGGGCACTCTCAACAAGCGTAGGTTACCATTATTCCCAAGAATCTACTGTTACATATCAGGGTTCACTATGAGGTCACCGTACACTGTAAAGATCATACGAGACACAGCATTATTGTTTTGATAAATTTGACCTCATTCTTTGAACCATTGAATTCTTGATCCCATTGAGTGAGTGAGTGAGTGAGTGAGTGTGTGGGGTTTTACGCCGCTTTTAACAATATTCCAGCAATATCACGGCGGGGGACACCAGAAATGGGCTTCACACATTGTACCCATGTCGGGAATCGAACCAGGGTCTTCGGCGTGACGAGCGAACGCTTTAACCACTAGGCTACCCGACCGCCCCCTTGATCCGATTGATATTCACGCAGAGTGAAATTCCGACTCACATGCCCATCTTCTTGTTGAAGTCGCCCATCATCTGCCCACCAAAGGAAAGATAACCCACGGTGTCGTTGAGGTCTCTGACGTAGAAACTTGGAAATCCACTAATTGTGAAGTTGGAGTTGGGGGATCTTGCCCCTGTGGTTTCATTCAAGTATTTCTAAAATACACACAGATCAGAATTATATAAAGTCTCTGAGGACAAGGTGACAGAGAGGTCATTTGTCATTTGGAATGAAAGTTTGGAATTTATCAAATACATGCTCAGATCGATATGATATATGACACGAGTGCCATGTGAAATTACGTTTTTTTATGGTTTTTTATTTTGCTCAACCCAAGTTCACGACAAAATAGCGTGTGATATTTAAATATGAAACCTTCGAAAAAAATTATTATTGGAAGAACTTAAAGACATGATATGGACAACCTCTTTATTCTTTAATTTGCTACGATGTTTCAGGGCTTCGGCATTGCTCTTCATCAGGTGCACGACGAAGGGCCGAGAGTGAGTGGGTGAATATAGTTTTACGCCGCTTTTTGCAATATTCCAGTAATATGACGGCAGGGATTGGCTTCACAAATTGTACCCATGTCGGGAATCGAACCGGGGTATTCGGCGTGACGAGCGACGCTTTAACCATGAAGCTACCCGACCGCCCCTGAATGGCCAAGAAGTAGCCCCAAAACGTCGTTACAAATAATTAAGTTGTTATTCATAAAAGGTGTCATTTCTTCATGAAGTTTTGGGTTATAATCCTACCTGTGTGAACATTACGAGAGGAAGCTGATCGGTTTGGTAGGTTTTTATGGTGGTCTGGAACGACAAGTTGTCTGCCCTGTAATACCAATACACGTTCTGCCAGGGCCCGAGTTTGTCCAAGCCACTTTGTGAGTAAGTTGTATTAGGACGACCTAACGTGCCGTCGGAGGTGGAGTAACGCTTGCCGTTGCCGTAGAAGTACGATGGCGCTGACTGAAGCCACGTGACACCGTTGTTGCTGATGTTATAGTCGCCACCGGTGGTTATGACGAATTCTAAGACAATAATAGATATCCTTTGCATGTGGTGATTTAGGTATTCGATGTAGGTATTCGTCGACGTATTTTATTTAGACAATGCGAAAAAGTACATATGAAGGAGTGAGTGAGTGAGTGAGTGAGTGTGGCTTTACGCCGCTTTTAGCAATATTCCAGCAATATCACGGCGGGGGACACCAGAAATGGGCTTCACACATTGTACCCATGTCGGGAATCGAACCCGGGTCTTTGGCGTGACGCGCGAACGCTTTAACCACTAGGCTACCCGACCGCCCCACATATGAAGGAGATGGGCGGCATGTCAGACACTCACACTGATTAGAAACAAATACCACAGACATGCCAATACTAACACTCGGTCGATGGATATGATACAGATTGGAGCCACCCATGCCCCATCCTCCCGAGTCAAGAGCGTCCACTAGCCTTTTTAACAATTCTTGTTTCTACCCTTGCCACATCAAGCCCACCAACCTGTGCTAACTATGACTGGACTATCGCACATATCGATAGTCCAATCAGAGAACGTTTCACAAAATCAACATCCACGACTGTCACACGTTCGTATTAAAGTGCTTTACCGCTGCCTGTCCTTGTTGCCACGAATATGTTTTTTTTCATCTTTAACACACACTACCCCCCCCCCCCCCCCCCCTAACGATAGCTTACGTTTTTGTTTAGGGATGAAATTGAGAATGTTTTCGTTATCTGATCGACTAGGCCGTCGCCATCTTTGTGAAGCTATACGAGATAAGAGCAGCGATCTGATTGGATATCGCGTTTCCTTACAAGGGGCACAACTCGTGATCTACGTTGATCCAGGAAAAGTGGCCTGGATGTGGCATGGGTAGAAACTCGGCTTTGATATACTATAATAGGCTATTGGACACGCTTGCCTTGGGAAGATTCCCATGCCCACATTGCAAGACCTTTGGTTTCTCCCGTGTTGCTGTAACTAACCTCATGCAACGTTATAGACAGACCGGGCAGACATCAGACATGCCAAGAACAGGCAGACACAAGGTACCTACGCCCAATGAAGACCGGTACTTGCGCGTATTTTGCATCCCCGGAATCGATTCCTGACGTCATCAGCCACGAATGCCTCAGGGTATATGGTTAGTCGACAGACAGTGACCAAGCGACTCAGGGCTCAAGGAATGAGGGCTTACAGACCTTACAGTGAGTGAGTGTGTGAGTTTGGTTTTACGCCGCTCTTAGCAATATTCCAGCAATATCACGGCGGGGCACACCAGAAATGGGTTTCACACATTGTACCCATGTCGGGATTCGAACCCGGGTCTTCGGCGAGACGAGCGAACGCTTTAACCACTAGGCTACCCGACCGCCCCTACAGACCTTACAGAGGACAGTTAATGACAGCGCAACATCGTCGTCAGAGATTGAGATGGGCCCGGACTGTGGAGGTGGTGTCGTGTGTTGGAGGCAATAGTCGAATATTCGAATAATATTGATGTTTTTTCGAAACAACTCTCTTTATCATCATCTCCATCCTACACAAGTAAGCAAGCGTTTTGGAAGAGTGAGTGAGTGAGTGAGTGAGTGAGTGAGTGAGTGAGTATGGTTTTACGCCGCTTTTAGCAATATTCCAGCAATATCACGGCGGGGGACATCATGGGCTTCGGGTGCATTGTGTCATGAAAAACAATTTGAGTTTGATAGTTGTGTTATTCATGTTAAATCATAAAAGCGTAAAAAACAGTTCAATGAACATAACATCTCAACTAAGAGCTGAGAGTATTCTGCCCCACCGGTGGCACCCGTCACAAACACTTGCAAAGCCAATCAGTTGTTTACTTGAAACGACAGGGGGACATATGGTACAAGTCAAAATAAGGACATCTTTTTTGTCACTGATGCATCAAAATTTTTTGGAAATGTCCACCTCATGTCTATTAGATAACTTTTTAAAAGTTTTACTAAGGCCTTGAATGTTAATTCTGAAAATAAAACTTTTGAGGAAGATGCACAAGATGCTTTTTGAATTCTTGATAGAAAGCGCATGATCCATCGTACCTCAACAGTTGCAACATGTAGACACCAAAGGCTGGCGCTGCTGCAATATTGTTCGTAATGGTTTATCTGTGTTAACTGTGTTACCAACTGTGGTTGCGTGCTCATCCCTGCATCTCCCCCTCCTCTCAACCCCTCCCTTTAACCCCACCCAAAACCATCTCCAACCGAATTCGCGTATGTTAATATATTTCATGATGAGTTCCATACAATAGTGTGAAACAGATGCAGTAATAAACCATATCCTTGTAGATCCAAGATACCATCGACCAGATAGCCATGTGGACAAGGTGCCAGTCCAGATTACTAGGTCGAACCCTGTCAGATCCCCTCTCTGACACTAATTGTAGCATTATCGCGTAGCCAATGCATTATGTTGACATGTTTAACTACAAAAGTCCTGTCGACAGTATAGCCTGGTTGACCAGCATAAACACATGAGATATTGACACGTACCGGCTTCCTGTTCAATGGCTATACTTAAAAAGTGTCTGTTACTTATAACGCCAATGTAATTAGGTTCCACTCACCTCCAGACACAAATGTTGCTATGGCTACCAAGAGCGAAATCTGTACCAGCAACTTTAATTCAGCCATGACGAGGATTGACCAGAACGTCTCGCCAGGATCAGAAATCACAGGGAAAGAGAGTTGATGTCAAGTTATCATATCAGGTACATTGTTTGTCAAGAACAGCTGATGACATTAAGGTCATGGGATAGATGTAGGACATCTATTTACGTGAGGTATTTATCATCTTCCAGGGATGGGGCAGCTGATTATTCCATTATCTGACCAAGGTGCAGTTGACGGGTGTCTGATGATAAGACCGGAGACACTGATATTGAGATTATAGTTTCGCCATTTCAAGTTGCGTTTCGGCGAGTGTTCGTGATAGTTCTGGTAACATCCTATATCTCACGTCCCTGGAGTGAGCGAGTGCGTGGGTGGGTGAGTTAGTGAATGAGTGAGGGTTCTCTTTTAACGGTATTACAAGCATCGCGGGGGACAACAAGAACGGACTTAATTAATTAATTTATTTTATTTATTTATTTATTTATTTATTTTTATTTATTTATTTATTTTTATGTTATTTTATTTCTTGGGGGGGGGGGGGGGGGGGGGGCTTCGTCTTCGGATCGACGAGCAAACGCTTTTAACTTTAGGCTACTCCAACTTCGACATTGTTACTTTTAAAATATAAAATATAAAATAGATCATTCCGGGACGATACCTTTTCTGTCAGAATTATCAAAAATAACTGTCTCACATAATCCTTCACAGTAGGACTTTGTGTTTGTAAATTACATAGCATTTTCAAGCTCAAGTCATAATTTTGCTAAATGCTACTTGGAGAATGAAGAGCATGAAAGAAGCATGGCCAAGGGACTACTAACGTGCGCATGCGCCTTGACCTATGATATTACGCATGCGCACAAATAGCTTCTAAAACGCGAGATCGCGAGAAAATGAAATGTCGCATTCTCGCGTTCTCGCGATTTCGTGTTTTTGTGGCCTAATTTGACAAGCCGAGATTGCGAGATTTTGCATCATGTCCAAATGTGGCATTCTCGCGTTGTCGACTTTTGACAAAAAGTGCTATGTACCAAAAACACGAGAATGCGAGATTTTGGCCAAATCTCGCGTTCTTGCGATCTCGCATTCTCGTGTTTTGGGCATATTTAGCTCGTTTCCAAAGGTCGAGATCGCGAGAATGTGAGATCGCGAGAATGCGAGATCGCAAGAAAATATTAGAATGTGTAAAGTGGACATTTAACTTTATAGAGATGGCTGAATATACGCAGGTCATTAATATCTTTCATTGTATTCACGGACCATGTCAAAAGTTGGTTTGGTTGGTTGGTTTGTTGTTTAACGCCGCACTCAGCAATATTCAAGCTATATGACGGCGGTCTGTAACTAATCGAGTCTGGACCAGACAATCCAGTGATTGACATCATAAGCATCGATCCACGCAATTAGGATCGATGACATGCATCAACCAAGTCAGCGAGCCTGACCACCCGATCCCGTTAGTCGCCTCTTACAACAAGCACAGTCACCTTTTACCGCAAGCATGGGTTGCTGAAGACCAATTCTACCCCGGATCTTCACGGGTTCAAAAGTATGTAACCGGGGTATTATAACGTCGACACCAGCTAGCACTGACATATAAAGAGACGATCCACTATGATTAGTGCTTTATCAATGATGTTTATTTTCGCTTTAGCAATATTAATTGTTGTATTTGTGTAGATCGAATATAATTATCAAATTTAGAGCAGTGGTAATATATTTAAAACGGATTGTAAGGCTATAAATATATATTTTGGTGATTATCTGGTTCTCTAAGATACCCTTACATACGTTAACAGAGGATAATTGTCAATAAAATACGCGTTTCTAAAATAAATCGATTCCTCAATAAATATTCACAACAACTGTATGTAATGGTTTGTACACCTAAAATCATAAACGCAAAGATATATGAGATTCGAACGAATTATTTCGAAATTTGTAAAAGAAAACTCGATGAAAGTAAGCTATCGTAAAAAAGATCATATATCGTTAATGAAAACTCAATACAATAAATATTATTGTTGTTTGTTGTTTAACGCCGCACTCAGCAATATTCAAGCTATATGACGGCGGTTAAATAATATTGGTTTTTAAATTACCATAATGACGTACATATTATTCTGCTTGATCATACCTGTACGAGACTAGTATGATACTCGCACACAATTTAATCAGTGAAATACCAACTTTACCAAAGCTATTTATGTTTTATCCAGCGCATATACTGCACTCAGCAGCACATGAGTTAATACGATTGAAATTCTTCCTTTTGCCTTAAACCTTAAACTTGAACGAGCTTTGAATAGTGTAGCTTGTTTGTTGTTTAACGTCGCGCTAAGCAATATTCCACCAATATGGCGGTGCTCGTACATCATCTCGACTACTCCAGGGAAACCAGGAAGTGGTATTGTAAGCGACCACTCACGCCGTTGAGGTACGATGTCACGCAATCAACAAAGTTGCCGAGTTAAGCCTCTTGTGACAAGCATAGTTGGCTGGTTTGTTTGTTGTCTAACACCGCACCGACCATCCGATCCCGTTACTCGCCTCTTTCGACAAGCAAAGTCGTTTTATACGCAAGCATGGGTTGCTGATGACCTGTTCTATCCCGGATCTTCACGGGTATACCACCATCTGGTCAGCATTCTTCATCTAATTTTAATATCTCTTAATAAAATTAATAATTTGCAAATAAAAGATAAACAGCTGATTTGGATGGCTTGCTAATATACTTTTGTACAAAAGAATATATTAGACCCTTGTTTGACGTCTCATTATCTTGTGAATCCCGTGGAATTCCCTTTTCGCACGTTTGCAACAGGGGTAACCCGTGGATGTGTGAACATAATTGGCAAGTGTAAACGTTAATACGCATGCGTGTCACGAATACGGATACAGGGGCGAAAAAAGACCGGACGGGTGTGATTCTGGCTTAACGCTGTATATGAAATCCGCACCCTAGAACGAGAATGGATATGTTGTAAACTGCAGATGCGAACCTACAGACAGCGGATCCGGTCAGTTCAGGAACAGTAACTTTTTACATATTTTCTGTTTAGTTTGTTTTTGAACGACCTTAAAAGACAACATGAATTACCAGAACTACATACAGTTGAGCCTCACGTGTCAGGAAACCGAATATTACCGACGATTTGGTGTTGAAAAATTGGTCATACTGGAAGTGAGTGAGTGAGTGAGTGAGTGAGTGAGTTTGGGTTTACGCCTTTTTAGCTATATTCCAGCAATATCACGGCGGGGGATACCAGAAATAGGCTTCACACATTGTACCCATGTGGGGTTTTCGGCGTGACGAGCGAATGCTTTAACCACTAGGCTACCCCACCACCCCCTACTATTTAAGAGGTTGCGTGAATACAATACACAGGGAAGAACACACATGGTTCACTTACACACATTCTATTAACACACATTTAACACACTTGTCGGACAATGATAGGCGACGCCTTGAAGCGTGTACGGAACAAGTGGCCATCGTTCCCTGCAGCACAGATAGCTTGTGTAGGTGTGCCATTGTATTTCCTAGCGCGGCCAGGAAGATGTAAACACATGATTGAGCCACACTTTCGGGGCCATGTGTGTTACGAAATCTTTTTAGAAGAACGCGAAACGAATGTACGTAATACTGTCACACCCTGCAACCCTAATAGGGTTTAGTGTTTAGGCATGATATTGCGATTTGTCCAGTGCAGGAAGGGTGTGACAATGCAATTTGTCCAGTGCAGGAAGGGTGTGACAATGCAATTTGTCCAGTGCAACAAGGGTGTGACACTGATATTTGCCTGGTGCAGCAAAGGTAACAGTTATGTCCGTTCCGCAATGTGCACATGCCAACTTCAATCACTGACGAGCAACTGCCATACCATTTAGAGAGTATCCCGACAAGAACATCCATTGAGGATATGTATAAAGTGGGCCATGGTGTCAGACAGGGATCTGTGTTAGTAGCTTTGTGATTTTAACCCATAATGCGCCATTCAACACAAGATCGTAAAACACGCCGTCTCGTTTTTGCATAAACCGGTCATGCTTTCACCGTGAACACAACCATTTCAAAGGTAGGAATACACTGCTGGTGGATCTACTGATCTCGTGTCAGTCGTCAGTGCAGGATCGCGTCTTAATGCGGTTACACATGTTTGAGGGAAGCTTGACGAAACCAAGGTCATATTAGGGTGTGAGACGAACCCGATATATTAAACATGGTCTTGTGCTTTGGGGAGTCTTTGTCAAAAAGTAAGTATATCTAAATGTTTGTCAAAAAGTTAGTATATCTTGATGTTTTTGCCTGTTTACTACTGTCGCAAAAGTAGGTCAGGTATGTTATGTAATGTATTGCTATTTTTCTTCATTCGTGTTCCTCATGTTTCATGTTGATTTTGTTGTTTGTTTGTTTGTTTGTTTGTTGTTTAACATGCTATCCCAGTTCCTCATCACGTGTTCGCACCTCCTTCAATTATGTGTGTATCTGTTTACGATATATGAATCAAGTCATTTTCGAAGTAGTCGTTTGTAAATAATGATAAATAATGAGAATTTCAGTCAGGCATGTTTATGGCAATACGGATATTCATCGATAACATGCAATACCTATATATAAATAACAAAGAAACACCATCTAAATATCATTTATTTAAACATACATATTAGAAAAGAACTGACGTTTAGATTAGGTATTCGTTAATGTGAGATATAACACGACTTGTGTCATGTATATATACAGATATTATTCGCCAGGGAATATCAACAAACACATTTTTAGTATTCAGTTTTATTTTCCATCCATTATCACTCGTTGTTCACACGGCCGGTTGTGACCTGACATCACCTTGCCCGTGCCTTTATAATGCAGGCGAATGTGAAATGACTCCATTAGTATTGAAGGCGTCTGAGGCCATAGAATTTGTTGATAGAGAAGTCTTAACAGGCTGTGAATGATTTCTTTGTATATGTCAACATGGGTTCTGACAGCACAAGGGCCAAGCTCGTTGACAGTTGGGGTATGAGGGACCCGTACTGCTGAACATAGGATCTTACAAACATAGGACCGACAAAATTGTTGTGTAACGCATGACTCAGCAATATTCAAGTTAAATGAAGGCGGTCTGTAAATAACCGAGACTGGACCCGACAAGCCAGTGATTGACATCATGAGCATCGATTCATACAATGACATGCAATGAATCACGTCACAGATCCTGACCATTTAGTTGCCTCTTGCGACACGCAAAATGTTTTCTTCAAGATATCGAATCCTTTCTTTTTCACAAACTTCGTTATTGTTGCTGGCAGTGCCATGATCAGGACGAAAGAGTGAGAGATCAATACTTGTCCCTACTTGTAATAATTTCTCAGACTTGGTACAGATGTCATTTCCTAATGTGACGTCAAATGATCACACATGGGTAACTAGTTATTTCAAAGGAAGAGAATTTATGGATGTCAACTTCTTAATTATGACGAAACACAACGTTGCGGGGTATATGCTTCCTCCTTCATCAGGTGAATGAATGCTATGATGTTGTTGATGCATTAAGTGTTTAAGAGGTCGCCTTCTGCCCAAGCAATTTCGGCTGACCTGTCCCTCTTTGGGACTCCTGTGTGTGAGTAGGGTACACATATCTATTGTGAGTTTGGTATTCACAGAATTTCTGTTTTTGTATTGATATGATTTCTATTTTCGTATATTGATATAATTCCATTTTTGTCTTTGGCTGCTCTGTTTATATTTGTTCCAGTCGCTGTCCATCTCTCAGAAATAGAGTTAGTTTGGCCTTCGCTATTGCATCTCTTGGCTTTAGGAGATCTATGGCAGATAGCGGATCTAAATGAAATTCTTGTATTAACCTAGCCCGGGCTGGGGTGTGGTCTAGACATTCCAGTAACACGCGAGCAATGGATTCAGCCTGATTGTAAGATGAGCAAACCTTGTCATAGTGCTTTGTTTGACCGTGTCTAAAGCGTGAGATGACAATTTCAACTTTCCTTTCATTTGAGTCCCACTAGGCATGCCATCTTTGGGCTACAGAGGCTTAGATTTTGCTTTTTATCTCTAGTTTACTAAAGGGAATAGGCTGTATCTCCGCTTTGTCTAGAGCTAGCTTCGCAAGTGTGTCTGCTTTTTTATCTCCATGAATATATATGTGAGATAGATACACAGCTCCACTTGTTGCCCTTGGTCCGATAGTTTTGTATATTCGTATAGTATGGACCCCGCAACCAGCGCTATTGTTGATGGGATTCAGTGTATATATGGGTCCCTGATAGTTACTGATCGTAGTAGGGTTGGGTTTTCCTTTTTAGTGACTTCTTATGTTAAAGCAGTGCTAATTTTGGGAGTTGTAACCCTTTGTAGTAACTTTCTGGTGGCTGCTTGTCATCACAATTGTGACTTTGGATGAGTTCTCGTACTAATTTCGCAGATGGCTTTAGTGAGGGATTGTTCCGACCTAAGGCTTCATCTCGAGTGTTTTTGTCTTGCCATATCTTTTTAACTAAATGGTATGTTCGTCCCCAGAACGATAATAATGCCTGCTCTCTTCTTAGTTTCAATGGGAGATCTCCCGTTTCTACTTGTAGTGCTTCTAGTGAGGTGCCTGTTGCTGCGCCTGTGACAAGTATTAGGGCTTTGTATTGTATTCTGTTTTCTTCGGATTTGTGAAATATCTCTGTGTTTTATCCATATTGCTCCGTACTCAGCGAATTTAGAAGTTTGGGTAGGAGAGTTGACATAATCAAAAAGATCATTGATCATGATGTTAAACAGGGTTGGGCTTATAATGCTGCCTTGTGGCGTGCCTTTGTCCACTGACATAGGATCAGATTGATTGTTCCCTGTTTTAACTGATAGCGACCTGTCTTGCAGGAAGCTGTCAAAAAAGGTTTGTCGTGTTCCCTTCTACTCCATTTTGTGCTAGTTTTGGAATGCTATGAGGCAGGGAGCATATATATGTACGTGTAAGGAAAACAAAAGTAATAAGATAACAAAAGGTGGAAGCTAAAAGGGAGGCCAACAGATGAATGGGTGATTAGCAAAGGACAATAAAAGCCAACACTTTACAGTAATTAGCGCTGATGGTTAGCTGGACAACTGGTAGCCAGCCCTTAATTTATCATTGCTTGGTAATGGGCAATGGAAAATGGGGACAAGGGTACGACTTTGGTGGCTTCCTATGTAGAAAATAGCCCAGACTCAGTTTTTAAAGGAGAGGCTATCTCTGAACGACCTCTGCATCGAGTTTATGTGCAGTGTTTTGAGATCAGCAACCCTGCAGAATCCTTCGCTTGGATGAAGTCGGCTGGCCTGAAAAGTGAAACAGAAGGCTTTCTGTTTGCTGCTCAGGACTAGTCACTTCCCACTCCGAAACCGTCAATGTGTGATTTTGCATCAAAATGTAAATACGAAATGTAGATTATGTAATGAATTTAATGAGACTGTCCAACACATTGTCAGTAGATGCCCAGCTTTGGCACAAACACAGTATCTTAAGCAACATGATGGAGTGGCTTGATCATTATATTTATCATTTTATCCTCGCCATGCTTATGGTTTTGACACAGAGGTCCATCCATGTATTGTATTCTGTCTAGGCGGCTCAAGACAGTGTTTGATGCTGAGTGGAAGGCCTCACAACCATAGTCTATGTTTGATCTGATAAGTGATTTGTAGTGGTCCAGCGTGTCTCTCGATGTGGCCCAAGATGTGCCTGAAATTGCCCGTAACACGTTCAGGTCTTTTGACATCTGTTTTCCACATATTCTATATGTTTGCGCCAAGTGAGGTGTTGATCAAGGATCACCCCAACACATTGTCAGTAGATGCCCAGCTTTGGCACAAACACAGTATCTTAAGCAACATGATGGAGTGGCTGGATCATTATATTTATCATTTTATCCTCGCCATGCTTATGGTTTTGACACAGAGGTCCATCCATGGTACGACCCAGAATATGTTGAGGGCGTCATGGAAAATGATCAATACAAAATTCTTTGAAATAGGCCCGTATACAGCCTCAGACGTATCCAGGCCAAGAAACCTGATCTTGTCCTTTTTGATAAATCCAATGAAATCATTTATATCATTGAATTTTCTGTCCCCGTTGACACTAATGTGATTGACAAGATTCAAGAAAAACATGGCAAATATGACTCGCTTTCGAAATGTCATGCTTGCATCCCAAGTACCAAGTTGTCTGACTCTCCATTGTTCTCGGTGCCTTAGGTTTGGTACCTCCCAATCTGTTGACTCACATTGGGAGAGTACCCGGGTTTGCTACCAGGAATTCAGCCCTTCTGACACTCTTGGTAATGCAGAAGGTTGCAGTGTTTGGGAGTTTTCACATTCTCCGAAAAGATCTGGGTTGGTTTGACTAGGCAGCACGTCCTGCCATTCGCTGTCTGGGTTGCGTGTAGAAGGGGCAAGGGCCTTGAGCTGGTGATGAGTCTAACCAACCTGACTGTCCCAGGATCACCCAAAACCTCTTTGCTGCATTTTCTATTTTAATCTGTACATAATAAAAACAATAGCAATAGTCCATTTGTATGACGCATATATCCATGCATAGTGCATGCTCAAAGCGCAAAACAATGAGAAGTCATTTGGAGACAGTAAGTCTAAAAAGATGGGTTTTGAGTTGTGAGCAGAAAGTAGACAGTTCTCTGCAGTCACGGAGGTGTTGTGGTAGACTGTTCTAGGTAACAGCCACTGGAGCAGCAAAGAAACGTTTGCCACAGTGTGGTGTCCGGACATCTAGTACGATGAGGACACTCTTGTTCTCTGAAAGTAGTGGAACAGTAACTCATGCACAGAAACTAATATAGAGTGAGTGAGTGACTGAGTTGGGTTTAACGCCACTTTTAACATTATTCCAGTTATATCACAGCGTGTCAGCTTAACGTGGGAGGAAAGCCCGAGGTGATGCAGGTCTCAGACGTTTACCACTTTTGTGAAACCCACGAGCACGGGGATGGTGCTGACAAACCTAGAAACATAATCGGGGCGAACTGGGATTCGAACCCACAATCATAGGTTTCTGGCGTGTCCAAGGGACGCAACTCTAAAAAATATACCGTGAATAGTCCGAACACTGCTAGCGCTATATATCGTTTTACAGTGAATTGTCTGAACACTGCTAGCGCTATATATCGTTTTACAGTGAATTGTCCGAACACTGCTCATCCCCTGGCACACTTCTGACCAATATTGTCCAATATCAGCACTATCATTGTCTCGAAGTACGGAAAAGTAGATATATATTTTACGGTAACAAGGACTTCGAGTTCACGAGGTGTCATTGCATCTAAAATACGTACCAGCTACATGTGAGTTCAAAAGGTGTTTCAAGCTACTTGTTCCAATTTTCCTGCAATATATCACAACACGGGCGCCAGAAATGGGTTTCCAACAGTACCCATGTGGAGAACAAGCCACAATGCTTCCCTACCACCCCTATCAGATGCCAGATGTCCTCGTAATACATTTAATAAATCCCTCCTCTTTTTTTTTAGTTTCGTGACGACCATGCCTCAAATATGAAACATATACGGAAGGTCCAAGTAGTTTCTTTGTTGCACCTGTGATAGATTACTGGTATTGTATGCGACTAAATATAAGTGACAATGCATCCTAGAAGAAGGCATATACGACCTGTGAACGTTGTAACCACGGCAACGGTACAACAACGGGCAAACAATCAAAAATTCAAATACGTACGTGCTGGGGATACGCATGCAAGGAATGCCTACAAACAGAAGATGATGAAACATGAAGCAAGAAAACCTCCAGATACCAGAGCAGTAATGACAGTGCCTCTCCAGGCCAAAGACAGTAAAGCACACGATGCAAGGATCAGCTTTACATCGGTGCCTTATTATTCCCAAAGAAATGATCCCACGCTTTCGGGAAAACAGTATTCCAGGCAACCCTTGAAGGCAGAACTACAGCACGGTTTGCAATACACAGAGACAGTCACGGAGCAGATGGATGATAGGTTAGATGAGGAGTCCTTGGCTTCCCGTGTACACCAGATATATGAATTCTCCCTTGTGGATGAAGACCAGCCTCGATCGAGATCTGTGACTCCTGTTTCACGAGGCCCCCAAACCCTCACTGACTCAGGATTTATCACCAGTGATGCCATCTCTTTCACATCCCCCTGTGGACGATCGACGCCCAATAGTGAAGTGGGCCAAGTGCCAATTCCTCATGGGGAGGTTGATGAAAGTGAAGTAAAAGAAAATCAGACGTTTGTCCAGAGAGTGGTTTACGCAGTTCCTGAATGCATACGAAGACTTAAGTTACACTACCAAGCCCGTAAAATGCAACAGATGGACAATGATGACGACACATCTCAGGAACCCAAGGTCGTCAATAATAAGGATCGGTATTATGGTTCCTACTCTAATTGGACTATGAGAAAACCATCGCCTGTGCCCTACCTTCGAGAAACAGACTGCAGCTCAATTGGGGCAAAGTCAACAATACGTAGGACAATGGCAGACACTGTTACGAAACTGGCAGGTATGTTAACTTTCATGATTTTTTGCCCATGTTTTTACAAAAAAAGCATTTCGTTTAATGAACATGCATCCTGTTGAATGTGTCCCAAGCACTCCATTGCTTGTTATAAGAGGCGATTGAAGTGGGAACACAAAGTGTTTAGACTATGTGTTACTATACCTGTGATCGAAATATCATGACTAGGCTCTCTAAAGCGTTGATCTGTTTAATAAATTGTGTGTGTACTCTTGATGTTTGGGGTTGGGGACCGACCATTTATTTAAAAATTATGTGTGTGTGTGTCTGTGTCTGTGTCTGTGTCTGTGAAGGACAGGGGCAAGGGCAGGGGCTGGATTTTTATTTTTAAAAATACTTTGTCCCAGAAGATGCTTGAAGTCAGTCAGTCAGTCAGTGAAATGATTGCCTAATTTCATGTGAACTCCTCTTCCTCATCTGGAGAGCACGACTCACTGCTATGTGTAACAAGTAACATTGTTGCTGGCAAATGTGTTAATGCGGATCAAGTAATTTCCCTCGGTATCCAGGCAGCTTCATTTATGACTGGTCACACATATACGGATCTACAACTGAAGAGCAAAGATCGAGAGACCAGCATTAGTGGTGACAAGACCCAGATCACAGTGCCTGGAGTAGAGGGAGAAGTGAACGCAACGTTAATATTCATAAGGGTCACAGATGTGATGAAAGATATGTCTGAATATAAATCATATCTTCTTCACGAGTTTTCCAAACAACCATCCTTCTTATTTGAGAAAGGTATCATGAAACAACAATGAGTATCCTGGCAGTTTGTTCAAGTCTCAAGTCAATGTCCACAGTCTACCTCCTGATGGTTCACTCACTCGCTCCAAAGCGTGCCCTGGTCTGTTGATGTCACCTACAGGTGTGTGACCACTATGTGTCCTGTGTACTTAAACCCAATGGACCAGAGACCGTAGTGGTGCTTGATGGATATGGCATTGCTACTTAAGCAAAACCTGCCAAACAGTAGAGAAGGGCACAGCAGAATACTTCTGCTAATATTGTTTTTCAACTGGAAATAAAAACCACTACATCTAAAGAAGGCATGGGTCATGGCAAAAAACACGGACAGACTAATTAAGCAATTCGTCAACAAAGCACTGCTGGGTGATAGCATCATCTGCAATGGATACTGTCCAAACACACAATTCACACCTGTGGTTGTTGTGGGTACAGACACAGATTTGCTGGAAATGATGGTCGCAGAAGGCACTCCCAGCTTGGATCTCCACATTGTGTTTGGACGGAACCCATTACAAGTGTACAGAATCTCTGTCTGAAATCAGACAGCGTTTCACAGCACAGCACCTGATGTTTGTACACGCAATCACTGGATCTGATAGTGTATCAGCGCTCTTCAAGGGGAGAAGAGAGAGAGTTTGCACTGTTTGATGGTACCAACAATTGGGACTGTTTGACTGTCTTCCATCGACCTGATAGTTCTCATGATGAGATGTTTGATAGATGTTCCTTCTGAAGCTGTATGGAACTGTGTGGTCAAAATCACTAGACAAACATCGGTACAAGGTGAGCATCCTTATCTTCACCTGGATTCAAGTTGGAATGCATCTTTTCAACATCAGCAGCATGCCATGCTGTACAGTAGTGCCTGAAAAATGAACTATCACCAACAGAAAGGAGGTGACACCACAGAGAGGGACTCTCATTGAGACTGCCAGACCTGTTGCTCCTCTGAGAGTCCTGCAGATGACATGTTATGCCTGCAAGAGAGTGTCGGAGGCGATGTAGCTACTACAAAGCAGGACCAGAGAACACTTTCTGATGCACAGGTTGTAGTGGCTACCTCACAAATGCTTCTGTCATCAAGCTACAAAATGATGTTCATGGTTAGACCTCTACTTCACTTCAATGACGTAGTTATTCTACTAAATGATTCGTAATAGTTTTTCACAGACTCCCGACATACATATGTACATATACTGCTCCAAATGGACATAACTGTGACCTACGTCACAGCAGCTCAAAGGCAATATAATGATACTGGACATAAGTCCCAGGTACCCAATATCACTCCGGCTCAACCACCTTGGATTTTATCGGAAAAGAATATAATGTCCCAGAAAAAAAATTGCCTGCCACAGAAATTCAGGCTTACTGTATTAAATAAAAAAGTATCTGGTTTTATTTACAGAAGTGAATGTAGATATGGTATCAAAAGAAGGACTTTGGACTTGTATGTTCATATTGCAGGGCTTGTGACGAAGAGGGCACATGACATACATGATGAAGACGGCAAAGTTGTGTCGCCCGGAGACTGTGTCTGGATCAGTAAGACCTACTTAACAACAGCTATATATGTCGGTAGGTGATTCAGAGATATCTTTTCTTCATCCTTCTACTGTGTAGCCGCTAGAAATCATTAGTGCTTACAAATCTTTCGGCAATTTCATATCATTTTAGATGAAAAGTAAACGGGGTACTCCTTTGGCGAAATATGTTTAAAATTTAGTAATGTTTACAAAAACATGACTACAACAGGCTATATGTAGAAAATATTGTTTGTGTATTATTTTGTCATATTTGTCTTAAATTTGCCTTAGAATATTAACATTTCCAGCAACGAAGGTGTATTAACTTTGCAGTCTTCCACTACTTTTCATCAATGGTTATCCAGATTTTTTTGTTTCTCTTCCTCCGCATAATGTACACACATTCCTAACACAAGTTTGAGGTAAAATCACCTTCAAGTAAACAGTGTTTCTGTTAATCTGTAAAATAGAGAAAACAAATCATTAAAGTTCACGATGAATAAAATTAATTTCATATATTTATTTTTACAATAAGTCGATCACAATGAAGCAAATATGGCTTAGCTCACTTTGATTATGGAGCATGTTTGACGATGTATATGGAGTTGTTCATGTTGCCTGAAACACCTAGTTAAACTTCAACAAATCTTATACTTGTTTCTAAGATTTAAAACGTGTACATTTCAGGAAAACAAACGGTCATAAGATGTGTTGGAAATGGAATCGTAAAGGAAATGATTGATCCCTTTTCAACACTGTGGAAAGCAACGTTTACGTGAGTACCTTCAGATATATGATTAAAGGTACATCTTGATCGCTTTAGTTTTGGTACAGTATTTCAAAGGCATGTACATATCAGCGAATACTGGACACTGTCGTGTACCTGTCTAATCACGTGTCGGGTCGGGTGGCCCAGTCGTCTAAGGCGCCGCGATTCGCTGTGCAGAGTTGCGTCCCTTGGGCACGCCAGAAACCTATGATTGTGGGTTCGAATCCCGGTTCGCCCTGATTATGTTTCTAGGTTTGTCAGCACCATACCCGTGCTCGTGGGTTTCACCGAAGTGGTAAACGTCTAAGACCTGCATCACTTCGGGCTTTCCTCCCACATTAAGCTGACACGCCGCGATATAACTGGAATACTGTTAAAAGCGGTGTTAAACCAAACTCACTCACTCACTAATCACGTGTCCAGATTTTTACAGTTCAGTCTCCTTAAACATCAAGCGATGGATCATTGAACTCTGATGCTTAACAATCCAAACCACGTGTTGAACATTTGACAGTGAGTGAGTGAGTTGAACGGTGTTTCAGTTGCATTGCTCCGCTTCAGCTTGGATTTTGTTTATTTGTTTGTTTGTTGTTTAACGCCGCAGTCAGCAATATTCCATCTGGACCAGGCAATCCAGTGATTGACATCATGAGTGATTGAGTATTGTTTTACGCCGCTTTAGCAGTATTCCAGCTCAATGCATGGAGGGTACCAGAGGGTACTAGAAATTGGCTTCACACATTGTACCCATTTGGGGAATCGAACCCGGGTCTTCGGAGTGACGAGCGAACGCTTTAACCACTCGGCTACCCCACCGCCCCGATTGACATCATGAGCATCGATCAACCAAGTCAGCGACAAGCATGGGTTGCAGAGGACCTATTCTCTACCCTGACCTGGGGCGGTCGGGTAGCCTAGTGGTTAAAGCGTTCGCTCGTCACGCAGAAGACCCGGGTTCGATTCCCGACATGGGTACAATGTGTGAAGCCCATTTCTGGTTTCCCCCGCCGTGATATTGCTGGAATATTGCTAAAAGCGGCGTAAAACCATACTCACACACTCGCTCACTCACTCTACCCGGATCTTCACGGGTCGTGAGCTAAGGAGAGAGCCCGAGGTCATGCAAGTCTCAGACATTAGGGAGAAATCCACGAGAATGGATATGGTGCTGGCAAACCCAAAAACATGATTTGGGAAGTCTGGTAGTGTACATTGATATTTAAACTTATCAGTACATTTGACACGGGTTTGTGAAATGAGTATTGCTGTAAAGGTGAGGTGAGGTGAAATTGGGTTTAACGTTGCGTCCAAGATTATTGCACTTATATAGCGACGTGCATGCACGTGTGTGTGTGGCTGCTTGTACTAGTCCGGACTAATGCCGATTTATAGTGCTAGCCCACTGAGATACCATGCCGCAGTTTAACATGAATACCCCACTCAGACACAGTATACTGACTCCGAGCCGACCAGTCCTTGTTTTAGCCCCTTATGCCGAGTGCCAGACAGGGTAACAACAAGTACCATCTTTTAACGTCTTTTTGTATGACGCGGCCGGGGATCGAACCCCAAACCTTCCGCTCTCCGGGCGGACGCTCTACCACTAGACCACGGAGGCGGTGTTTGCTGTATAGACGTAACAATGTGACACTGTTTGTTCTAACAGTAAGGGATACGTGACCATACAGTCCAAACAGGACATCGTGATCGCCGCTAAGATGCAGCTTGGAGACAGCTTTATCGGGACGAATGATGAGTTCATAGTGAACTGCCTCACTAACCTCGATTCTTTAGAGGTACGTATTATAACGCTAAAGCACACACTGAGTATTACCCATAGGAGCAAGTTGTCTTTGTTCGTTTGTTGTTTAACGCCGCACTCAGCAATATTCCAGATATATGACGGCGGTCTGTAAATAATCGAGTCTGGACCAGACAATCCAGTGATTAATATCATGAGCATCGATCCACGCAATTGGGATCAATGACCATGCATCAACCAAGTCAGCGATTGGGATATGATGACATGCATCAACCAAGTCAGCAAGTCTGACCACCCGATCCCGTTACTCGCCTCTTACGACAGTGATTGGGATATGATGACATGCATCAACCAAGTCAGCAAGCCTGACTACCCGATCCCGTTACTCGCCTCTTACGACAAGCATAGTCGCCTTGTACGGCAATCATGGGCTGCTGAAGACCTATTCTAGCCCGGATCTTCACGGGTACATAGGAGCAAGTGTAAATGTGCTGTGACTATCAGTAATTCTCACTGAGCATTATAATTCTTGTTTCATTCGGATTGACAAGTCCACGACAACTGTTCCATTTTTTTTGTCGTTTCCGAAGCGGCCCATAGCAACGTGACGTCATATCAACGTATTTTCGCACAATAAAAAGTATAAGGCAGTCATTCTTTGTTCATGACGTCACAGGCGGTTTCATATGCCATCGTTACCACCATTAATTGACTTAGCTCATACCTCCACTTGTTTTCTGTAAACCCGCATTTTCTATCTGTCCTTCGTGATATAATCAACTAAATCGTAACAAAAAAGTATCCGTTATTCGTCGTAGCTCGTAAGTAAAATCTAATTTTATCGATGAAGATAACCAATCACGCCAGCGTTGCTAAGTGTCATTTATTATAGGTAACTCAAATAGCTACAACTACAATAGAACAATCCGTGACCTCTTTGCAAACGATGAAAACGTTGGACTAACGGAACGCACTAGCCAATCAGCATGAAGCGACAACAAACATGCTTAGTGAGGATTATCGAATATAATTTCACCTAAATCTATTTTACTTTCTAAAACGTTTTACTTTCTGCCGCGATCGTGACACATCCGTGACACACCCTGAACCGGGTCAGTTACACACAAAATAAAAATTAAATGTTGATGATTATTGAGACGCTATTTTTCAGATGATTGATTCATATATATTTCATTCCAGGCTTACGAATTAGGATTCCGACTTCACGATGCAACTGGTCATGAGACTAATTTCAGCATGCCGGAACTGTTTTAGAAAATAACGTTATCAAGATATGACTTTACCTACTTTACACGGTACTGTCAATGTGTGTGTGTGTGTGTGTGTGTGTGTGTGTGCGTGCGTGCGTGCGTGCGTGCGTGCGTGCGTGCCTGCGTGCCTGCGTGCCTGCGTGCGTGCGTGTGTGTGTGATACATTTTTTTATTTGATTTTATCTGCTCGCCTGACAGAATGTCAAGTGAGCGAAAAGGTCGTCGTCTGTCGCCTGTCGTGTGTCGCCCGTCGTAAACAGATTTACATGTTTGTTCCCGCCAATGATAACTCCCCGATGTATTCAAGATGTTCAAATCCGATTTTCAATATGGCCGCCATGGCAGCTATTTTTATAGAATCTATTTATGACCATTTCACATGCTTATTTCCGCCATTGAGGACACATGAACATGATTTTCAATATTACTGAAAAACGTACATGTATTTGTTATCGTTATTAGGCCATATTTTTCAAAATGGACAGAAATTTGGTGTCCAGTTCTTTCAGATATTTTGAATTTTGACCATTGACCTTTGCACTTCGACCACCCTGAAAGATGAAACGTCTTATAGTCATTACCCAACCATTTCTGTTCAAAATGGAGTGAGTGAGTGAGTGAGTGAGTGAATGACTGAGTGAGTGTGGTATTACGCCGCTTTTGGGGAATCGAACCCGGGCCTTCCGCGTGAACGCTTTAACCACTGGGCTACCCCACCGCCCCTCATGTAATATGTCAATATGGCGCTGGACCATAGTGAATTGAAATTTGATACATGTATAGTTAGTAATGGAGCTCAACATGTATGTCCTGGTGTTTTTCGATATTTATAATTTTGTCCTCATTTTGACCATACTCTTAAATCAGTTTAGAGGCATGTTGGCTCAAACTTCTCTCCTGACAGACAGACTGGTGAAGCTGTAGTGTGGCATAATCCTTCTGATGACATCATATTGTGTTCGGGGGCACAGGTGGTCCAGTCGTCTAAGGCGCTGCAGTTCTCTGTACAGAGTTGCGTCCCTTGGGCACGCCAGAAACCTATGACTGTGGGTTCGAATCCCGGTTCGCCCCGATTATGTTTCTAGGTTTGTCAGCACCATACCCGTGCTCGTGGGTTTCACCGAAGTGGTAAACGTCTGAGACCTGCATCACTTGGGGCTTTCCTCCCACATTAAGCTGACACGCCGTGATATGACTGGAATACTGTTACAAACGGCGTTTAACACAACTCACTCACTCACTCACTCATATTTTTTTCAAATCATATCATTTCAGTGTTAAATTTTAGTTCAGAAAACGTTAGAATATCAATGCTGGCAGCATTTTTTTAAACCTCTGTCTTTGCTTACATTTAAAACGGTTGACTATATATCCAGGTGAGCTACAGTTTCTTTGGCACTATGGTTCTGTTTTGATACAAAATTATCAAGCTATTATCTATCACAATTATAACATTGTTAACAAAATACAAGTGACTATAGGTTTTTGATACAATGTACTCTTGATTGTATGATGTCAACGTCATCAATGTCGTTATCATAAGCATCTCATCCACATGTTTGTACGACACATTTTACACAATACATGTATATTTAGAAACATACAATAATCAATTCAGTATATCTTATAATAGGCAATAACGAGAGTTGAGCGTTATGATTACCCTGGTTCGACGTCCTGTTGACATTCAACTGTCCAACTCACTAGTCATGTTGATCTATCCAATAGTTTGATGTATATACGTGTGAACTAGTTATCCTTTGTTGGTCTTTCATTGCAATGCATGTATATAAAACATGCGCTCTCCTACACTGTGTGTTCTTTCATTCATTGTCTTGTACATTGTTGTTTGTTGTTTTACGCCGCATTCAGCAATATTTGGCCTATATGTAAATAATCGAGTCTGGGCCAGACATTCCAGTGGTTGACATCATGAGCACCAATCTACGCAACCGGGATACGATGACAGCATCAAACAAGCCTGACCACCTGATCCCGTTAGTCGCCTCTTACGACAAGCTTGGGATGCAGAAGATGAATTCTAACCCGGATCATGATGGGTCTGACTCATTGTTTGTACGTAAGGGACCCGACCTTTAAATCTAGGGAATGGGTTGTCAGAGACAGAAACTCCTTCCTTTAACGGGGTTGTCGAACAAAATACATTTCTGCACAAACAATGGTTTTTTTCTATGATGTCCAGCATAGTCAGCGAAAAGATTATTGCTGTTTATCGACAGTTTAAGATACATAGCTTGAAACGGGTATATTCTATGAATTTCAGAGATCTTCAAAGATGAGCATTTGTTCTTCGCGAGTCAGTACGATAACGTGTTCGAGGATTACACTTGAACATCTGCGGCCTACTTAACGTTGGTATCTCCTCCCAGAAGAAGCTGAAATATTGAAATACTGATAAAAGCGAGTGTCTACGCTGCGATATAAGTTTGGACCTTGTTCTACTTAGCAGATCGACATTAGGAGTTTTAGGACATGCGGGAGTTATGAAGTATTAGAAACGGAGAATTTTATTGTAAAATATAAACACATAAATCAGTAATTGTCCGCATTCCGTGTAAATGAACCTGCATCGTAGCAAAATATGGAAAGAATAAGCGAAATCGACATTGTTTTGATAAATATTCATCAAACGTGATACTTATGTGCGGTAGCCATTTCGCACTCAGATTTCGACACATAATCTTATTTATTTGCGTTAATCATTACCCCGGATTACTGATGTGAGATTAAACGCAAATCTTTCAGGGACAAGATTAACCAAAGAGACACAACCCTTATGATTTGTTATGCATTGCGTTCCGGTCATTGGATCAGTTACGCATATCTCAAATAATAGTGGGGTGCACGGGTAGCCCAGTCGTCTACGGCGCCGCGATTCCCTGTGCAGTGTTGCGTCCCTTGGGCACGCCAGAAACCTATGATTTTGGGTTCGAATCCCGGTTCGCCCTGATTATGTTTCTAGGTTTGTCAGCACCATACCCGTGCTCGAGGGTTTCACCGAAGTGGTAAGCGTCTGAGACCTGCATCACTTCGGGCTTTCCTCCCACATTAAGCTGACACGCCGCGATATAACTGGAATACTGTTTAAAGCGGCGTTAAACCCAACTCACTCACTCACTCACTCAAATAATAGTTCACAGGAATAATATTTTGACAGTGGCATGGACATTTCATTGCTGCGTTTTCTTTTACGTAAAAGGAGTTCGAATTATCTGAGAAAGATCATTTGAGTGATTACTTTAGAAGAGAGTGGAAGCCATAGAGAGAGACCGAGTACACAAGAGTGGCCTATAAGAAACTAAGAAGCTATTAACATTTTACAAAACATCACGAGGGCCTGTTCCTACTCCTCTGTACCCACAAACATACCTTTACTTAAGACTTGATGTCAATATGTGCTGATGAAGACATACGGTATGCATACGGTGTCCACCCAATTCCATTAACCAATTGAAGAAACAGAAGACCGCCAGTGGGCGGATCCTATTTTCAATTTAGGTGTAAAATGGAATGGAATGGAAACATTAACGTTAGATATCACTTCATGGTTGGCCAATCAAATGACAAGGAACCGTTTACGATTTATTCGTTGACATATACAATTTAAAGCTTCAAATTCTTTCTACATAATCATGAGAAATCTCCATTGGACGATTTCAGCTATATCATCAGCATGTGTTTATGAATCACTATCAGTTGGTGGTGAGACCGGTTGTAAAAGATAATAGATTTCCGGATCCTGTCCCATCGGTAGCACTTGTCATAAACACATGCAAAAACAAGTCAAGTATTCACCTGAACAAACACGGGAACATTATGCTTCAAGACAAAATACTGAATTGCATCTGACATATTTGAAAACGTCTACCATAAAACTACATAAAATGCTGTAACCCTGGACAAACAACTTTTACAAGTGTCGTACACATGGTTAACTTCTCTACGTGTGTGTAGAGATACTACTACTAGTGTGTGTGACACAGGCCCATGTTTACTCCCACATGTTTGCCACATTTTAAAGATTTCAGATTTCAGAAAACGAACCTTATTTAAATATCGCTGCATTTTCATTAGACTTTGTTTGTTCTTTTGCTTTTTGTTTAACGCCGCACTCAGCAATATTCCAGCTGTATGACGGCGACCTGTAAATAATCTAGTCGGGACCAGACAATCCAGTGATTGACATGATGAGCATCGATCTTCGCAATTGGGATACGATGACATGTATCAACCATTCAGCGATCCTGGCCACCTGATCCCGTTAGTCGCCTCTTTTTACGAGCATAGCAGTTGAAGACCAATTCTCTACTCGCATCTTCATGGGTATTTTTCATTAGATTATGTAAGGAGCAGACATACTATAATTGAAGCCATTAACAAAGCCACATTCCAAGCAGCCAACTCACTTTTGTAACTATAATGAATTGTATTTAAAGTTATTTAAAGTTTACATCTCTAACACTTGTTGACTTTGACACGATCATGAGCATGTACAATGACGAATTAATTTGGCAAACAGACACAAAAGAAGCCGTCAAGCGAACCAACCACTGGCCACTCAAAGACAGATGCCGTTTACAGGACTCAAGATCGTAAATCTTGTTGTCATTTACGTGCCTCATTGTTATTGGATCCGTTTCATTGATTTTCAAGACCTTTTTTAAACAATGTTGTCTAAAATTATATCATGTGCATCAATGACTAGCATTGGAAAGGATACATACATGCAAACAAAGAACGATTTCCCAACAGAACAAAATGTTTGACTCTGTCAATACAGATCCTCTATAAACGTTATCTCATGCTGAGAATAGCGTTGGGTCTGGCAAGAACCGTGAAGGTACCCGGGTAGAATAGCTCTTCAGCAACCCATTCTTGCCTTTAAAGGTGACTATGCTTGGTGCTGATCTAGTGTAGATACCCCTTGATTAAACCTTTATGATAACATAACGCTGTTGTCGCTGTTGTCTCTGAGCCAGGAATTCAATGGCCATTCTGAACATGCACGACTGGGTCACGGATGTGCCATCGGCTGTTAGGATGGTGCTCACAGATGTGTTTCCTTAATATGATTGTGGAACCGTGAAGATCATGGGGTAGAATAGGTTTTCAGCAACCCATGCTTGCCGTAAACGGCGACTATGCTTGTCGTAAGAGGCGAGTAACGGGATCGGGATGTCAGGCTCGCTGACTTGGTTGAAGCATGTCATCGTATCTCAATTGCGTAGATCGATGTTCATGATGTCAACCTCTGGTTTGTCTGGCCCAGACTCGATAATTTTCTGACCGCCGTCATATAGCTGGAATATTGCTGAGTGTGGCGTTAAACAACAAACAAACAAACAATTGACAGTTCATAAGTCAGTATCTGGTATGACCATTGGTAGTGACAAAAGCTTGATAACGGCTCCCCATTGACGACACAAGATGGTTGAGGGATGCTTGTGGGATGTCATTTCAGATCTTGACCAAGACCTCTCGCATCTGGACCAACACTGGGCAGTGGTCGTGGTGGAACGTACCAGGGTCCTTGTTGGTAATGAACGTGTGATTTAATACCTGCGTAATTTAGGAAGACGGCTTGGGGAACCTCTGTTCTGGAACTGTTGACTATACTCTGCACGCCGAATTGCGTCGCCTTGGACCACTGGACAAACAGTGACACCCAGAAGGAACACAGCATCTCTTCATTAAAATATTATTAAAAAGATGAAAACGATATTAATAATTCTGAATAATTCTGCAAGCGATAATCTTTCAGTTATCGAAATTACACAATGCAATATTTAAATTTCTTTCTTTACAAACGCTGATATCAAGCAGAGTATAGTTAGAACATTCGTAATGCCACTAATGAGTGTAGGGGGCACGGGTGGCCCAGTCGTCTAAGGCGCCGCGATTCCCTGTACAGAGTTGCGTCCCTTGGGCATGCCAGAAACCTAGGATTGTGGGTTCGAATCCCGGTTCGCCCTGATTATGTTTCTAGGTTTGTCAGCACTTTACCCGTGCTCGTGGGTTTCACTGAAGAGGTAAACGTCTGAGACCTGCATCACTTGGGGCTTTCCTTCAACATTAAGTTAACACGCTGTGATATAACTGGAATAATGTTAAACGCGGCGTTAAACCAAACTCACTCACTCACTCACTCCACTAATGAGTGAGTAAATACTAGTATGCTTTATGTCGCCTCAGCCATTTTGCAGCTATTCAGGGCATCAATTCAGCAAGTATGTACCAGGTCAGGACACTCGTCAGTACACCTGACCAAGTATGAGCCAGCCTCAGTGAACAGGCTTGAGTCAAATGACAGTCTATCAATAAGCACTGTTCAAAGATTACACATGTTTACGAGACATTCTATACTAAGAACAGGTCGTCAATAACGCCTCCAAAGCAACTCGTGCGTTTCGGAGCGGCGCTTCGGCAACCAGTAACACACCACGCTAACACCACACAACACGGTATTCTGTGTGATGAACATTGATAAACTGATATTTATTTATCTCGTGTGTTTTTATTAGTTGTCGTAATAATCCAAGCCTATTTCAAAGGTTTGTTTAATCGGATTTCCTTTCCTTTAATGACTGCAGTATAAACCGATTCTATTTCTTGTTTGTTTGTATATTGTTTAATGCCGCACTCAGCAATATTCCGGCTATATGACGGTGGTCTGTAAATAATCGAGTCTGGACCAGACAATCCAGTGATTTATATCATGAGCATTGATCCACGCAATTGGGATACGATGACATGCATCAACCAAGTCAGAGAGCCTGACCACCCGATCCTGTTAGTCGCCTCTTACGACCAGCATAGTCGCTTTTTACAGCAAGCATGAGTTGCTGAAGATCTATTCTAACCCGGATCTTCACGGGTCGATTTTATTTCTAATACTGAGGGTGTTTTGAGGGGATGATTTCTGAATCCCATATGATGTCCCATAGTGAGGCGCTTTTGGGCTGGTAGAGGTTTCTGAATCCCATTCATTTCTTATAATGAAGACGTTTTCAATCCGATTTATTTTGCTATAGTGAAGATGTGTTGGGTTTATGATAACGAAATTTCATTTATGTTGACATGAATCACTTATCTCGACCACATGTACGAAACTGATATCACCATCATATTATCACGGCTTATCACATCGTATCTTGGGACTGATTTCGTCGAATCTTTTGTAATGCAAAGTTTGTTCAGTACTTATGCTAATATGAAAGGTCAAGGGTCATGGGGTCTGGGGTCAGTTTGAGACGTGCGATACCAGCGAGGTTCCTTTTCATCTCACATCATTGCTTGAGGCAGTTGAGGTCATCTCGTTGTCGCTGGATACTACATCCAGAATGAAACAGTTCATCAGCTTGATACTGCTATTACTTCTTGTAACACTACATCAGAAGGGTAAGTAAGAATTCTTTAATATATGATGTGTGTGTTCACTCAAAACAATCGAAGAGCCGATAACATTTTGACCTTAATATAAGGGAGCATCGTCTTAATTTATATATCGCGATCGTGTGAACGACAATTTTACCGTGCATCGTGAATAATAAAATAAAATAAAATTATAAAATATTTCAAATATATAAGTTAATGCCAGATGACCATATTTTGATGTATACGATGTCTATACCCTATATTATAGATGTTTTACTAATAATATCTTTATAGAAATAATATATATTTACTCTAACACAATTGCAGAATAATTATATCCTGTTGTATTTTGTTAAACGCGGCTCTCAGCAAAACTTCTGATGTGAGATGGCGGCCTGTAAATAATCGATTCTGCACCAGACAATCCAGTGATTGATGTTATGAACAACGATCCACGCAGTGAGGATACGATGACATGCATCAACCAAGTCCCCTAGCCTGACCACAGGATCTTTCAGGTCTTTAAGGTCTTTCAGGTCATAGGTTGCTGGGGATCTATTCTAACCCGGAATCGCGTTTGATATATGGACAGGTGGAGGGTAGCCTGTTCATTATAGCATTCGCTTGACACAGGGTGCGATTACCAACATGGGTGCAATGTGCCAGGCCCATTTCTGCTGGGATTTTACAAAACGTAGCGTAAAACCATACTCCCTTACTCACTCATTGACACATAAATGGATAATTTATGGTTTTTTTGCAACAAAAACGAAAAGCAATGTATGTCTGTCGCATTCAATCGATATTTGAAGGAGTGGACCACGGACCACCGTTTCACGAAAGCTGTCGTAACGCTTTGAATTTTTCGGAACTCTACGAGCAACCGTCTACAGTAGAGTTAATGAGACAAAGCTATTGAAGCGTTACTATATCTTTGTGGAATATGACCGAGTGTTTGTTTTTTGTTCTTATATTGGCAGTAAATATACACACTGGGCTACAGAAGTTATCTTTGATCTTACGCTTCCACATAAGCTTGCCGTAAAAGGTGTCTATGCTTGTCGTAAAAGGCGACTAAGGGGATCGGGTGGTCAGGCTCGCTGACTTGGTTGATGCATGTCATCGTATCCCAATTGCGTGGATCGATGTTCATGATGTTAATCACTGGATTGTCTGGTCCAGACGCGATTATTTACAGACCGCCGTCATATAGCTGGAATATTGCTGAGTGCGGCGTAAAACAACAAAACAACCCAAAACCAAAACCGCTTAAGCATTTCCCATGGATTTGACTTTGACTTTGATTTTTATACGGAAAATAACAATTTATATATCTGGCTATCATATGATCCACATGACGACAATGACCAAACAAATAATCAGACCAAAATCACGGCTCCAAGAAAAAAAACTATAATGGTCGGTCCCTTCAATGAAAGAATACAAAGGACATATGTCATAGATACAACTCTTACTCAGCAATACCTTAACAGTCAGACAATATTCATTTGCTTGTAGGTATTTAAAAATGTTTGTGTTGCTTATTTTTATGTTCTATTTTGGTCTGAGGAAAATTGAACAATTTGTTTCTATATGTAGACATTATACCTTTCTGAGTTCTTCGAATAATTGGCGTGCCTTTGCATGCGTTTATGACGGATGTCACCGGTGAAGCAGGTTACGCGAACCCTTTCGCGAACACCTGGTATCATTACTATTTAATAGTGATTCATAAACACATGTCATCGATATAGTCGGATGCGTACAATCGGGATTTCTTATGAACATAGAAAGGGTTTTGTCTCTTCTAATTTCTCGTCCTACCTATTGCTCAGGAACACATGCTGTTGTGTTTTGCCTCTCTAACAACATTCTAAATTCCTAAATAACAACTAACCCTGTTGAGATTCCGAGTCAGAAAAGGCCGGCGGCGGGTAGCCTGGTGGTTAATGCGTTTGCTCATCACGCCGAAGGACCGGGTTCGATTGTCCAGAAGGGTATAATGTGTGAAACCCTTTCTAGTACCCCCAGCTAAGTATTGCTAAACCTGGCATAAAACAATATTCACTCATTGGTAAGAGGTGACTATGACGGGGATCGGTTGATCAGGCTTTGTGGCTTGTCTGGTTGGTTGTCATCGTCTCCAGATTCCGGTCTTTATACATTGGCGTGAGATAACTGTATACAAACATTAACAAATGCAATGTGTTCTCCTTCAGTCAGCGGCGAGGGATTAAGAGTGGAGACATCTGCCACTGGCTACTACAACGTCTACGTGAACGGCACACAGTGGATAAGGGGATCACAAGCGTTCTTCTTTGTCAATGGAGGCAAATACACAACTGACGGGGTTCTTGGCCACCTTGGAAACCTAACGTTAAGAAACACTGAGCATGACCAAGGACAGGACATGCTAGGGTTCTGGAAAAGAATCACTTACAATTATTATGCTGATGACTCACCGATACAACTGTCAATCAAGAGCTATGTGGAAGGGGGCGTGCCGGCTGTAGTATTCGGACAGGTAAATATCCTGGTTGTTTCCATGTCTAAGTATTTCCACGCTGGTTGAACTTTTCGATCACGTAAATATCCTGTGAGTTTATATATCAAAGAAAGTATTTGCGTGCCGGATGTACTATTCGATCAGGTAAATATCCTGTGAGTTTATATATCAAAGAAAGTATTTGCGTGCCGGTTGTACTATTCGATCAGGTAAATGTCCTGTGTGCATGTCGTAGTAATTATTTGCGTGCCGGTTGTACTATTCGATCAGGTAAATATCCTGTATGCATGTCATAGTAAGTATTTGCATGCCGGTTGTACTATTCGATCAGGTAAATGTCCTGTGTGCATGTCGTAGTAATTATTTGCGTGCCGGTTGTACTATTCGATCAGGTAAATATCCTGTGTGTGCATGTCATAGTAATTATTTGCGTGCCGGTTGTACTATTCGATCAGGTAAATATCCTGTGTGTGCATGTCGTAGTAAGTATTTGCGTGCCGGTTGTACTATTCGATCAGGTAAATGTCCTGTATGCATGTCATAGTAAGTATTTGCGTGCCGGTTGTACTATTCGATCAGGTAAATGTCCTGTATGCATGTCATAGTAATTATTTGCGTGCCGGTTGTACTATTCGATCAGGTAAATATCCTGTGTGTGCATGTCGTAGTAAGTATTTGCGTGCCGGTTGTACTATTCGATCAGGTAAATGTCCTGTATGCATGTCATAGTAAGTATTTGCGTGCCGGTTGTACTATTCGATCAGGTAAATGTCCTGTGTGTGCATGTCGTAGTAAGTATTTGCGTGCCGGTTGTACTATTCGATCAGGTAAATGTCCTGTGTGTGCATGTCGTAGTAAGTATTTGCGTGCCGGTTGTACTATTCGATCAGGTAAATGTCCTGTGAGTTTATATATCTAAGAAAGTATTACCGTGTCGGTTGTACTATAAGCTCAGGTAAATGCCCTGTATGTTTTCATTTCTAAGTATGAGCGTGCCGGTTGTACTATTCGATCAGGTACATGTCCCGTATGCATGTCATAGTAAGTATTTGCGTGCCGGTTGTACTATTCGATCAGGTAAATGTCCTGTATGCATGTCATAGTAAGCATTTGCGTGCCGGTTGTACTATTCGATCAGGTAAATATCCTGTATGCATGTCATAGTAAGTATTAACGTGCCGGTTGTACTATTCGATCAGGTAAATGTCCTGTATGTTTTCATTTCTAAGTATGAGCGTGCCGGTTGTACTATTCGATCAGGTAAATGTCCTGTATGCATGTCATAGTAAGTATTTGCGTGCCGGTTGTACTATTCGATCAGGTAAATGTCCTGTATGCATGTCATAGTAATTATTTGCGTGCCGGTTGTACTATTCGATCAGGTAAATATCCTGTGTGTGCATGTCGTAGTAAGTATTTGCGTGCCGGTTGTACTATTCGATCAGGTAAATGTCCTGTGTGTGCATGTCGTAGTAAGTATTTACGTGCCGGTTGTACTATTCGATCAGGTAAATATCCTGTGTGTGCATGTCGTAGTAAGTATTTGCGTGCCGGTTGTACTATTCGATCAGGTAAATGTCCCGTATGCATGTCATAGTAAGTATTTGCGTGCCGGTTGTACTATTCGATCAGGTAAATGTCCTGTATGCATGTCATAGTAAGTATTTGCGTGCCGGTTGTATTATTCGATCAGGTACATGTCCTGTATGCATGTCATAGTAATTATTTGCGTGCCGGTTGTACTATTCGATCAGGTAAATATCCTGTGTGTGCATGTCGTAGTAAGTATTTGCGTGCCGGTTGTACTATTCGATCAGGTAAATGTCCTGTGAGTTTATATATCTAAGAAAGTATTACCGTGTCGGTTGTACTATAAGCTCAGGTAAATGCCCTGTATGTTTTCATTTCTAAGTATGAGCGTGCCGGTTGTACTATTCGATCAGGTACATGTCCCGTATGCATGTCGTAGTAAGTATTTGCGTGCCGGTTGTACTATTCGATCAGGTAAATGTCCTGTATGCATGTCATAGTAAGTATTTGCGTGCCGGTTGTACTATTCGATCAGGTAAATATCCTGTATGCATGTCATAGTAAGTATTAACGTGCCGGTTGTACTATTCGATCAGGTAAATGTCCTGTATGTTTTCATTTCTAAGTATGAGCGTGCCGGTTGTACTATTCGATCAGGTAAATGTCCTGTGAGTTTATATATCTAAGAAAGTATGACCGTGTCGGTTGTACTATAAGCTCAGGTAAATGCCCTGTATGTTTTCATTTCTAAGTATGAGCGTGCCGGTTGTACTATTCGATCAGGTACATGTCCTGTATGCATGTCATAGTAAGTATTTGCGTGCCGGTTGTACTATTCGATCAGGTACATGTCCTGTATGCATGTCATAGTAAGTATTTGCGTGCCGGTTGTACTATTCGATCAGGTACATGTCCTGTATGCATGTCATAGTAAGTATTTGCGTGCCGGTTGTACTATTCGATCAGGTAAATGTCCTATATGTTTTCATTTCTAAGTATTTGCGTGCCGGTTGTACTATTCGATCAGGTACATGTCCTGTATGCATGTCATAGTAAGTATTTGCGTGCCGGTTGTACTATTCGATCAGGTAAATATCCTGTATGCATGTCATAGTAAGTATTTGCGTGCCGGTTGTACTATTCGATCAGGTACATGTCCTGTATGCATGTCATAGTAAGTATTTGCGTGCCGGTTGTACTATTCGATCAGGTACATGTCCTGTATGCATGTCATAGTAAGTATTTGCGTGCCGGTTGTACTATTCGATCAGGTACATGTGCTGTATGCATGTCATAGTAAGTATTTGCGTGCCGGTTGTACTATTCGATCAGGTAAATGTCCTGTATGCATGTCATAGTAAGTATTTGCGTGCCGGTTGTACTATTCGATCAGGTACATGTCCTGTATGCATGTCATAGTAAGTATTTGCGTGCCGGTTGTACTATTCGATCAGGTACATGTGCTGTATGCATGTCATAGTAAGTATTTGCGTGCCGGTTGTACTATTCGATCAGGTAAATGTCCTGTATGCATGTCATAGTAAGTATTTGCGTGCCGGTTGTACTATTCGATCAGGTACATGTCCTGTATGCATGTCATAGTAAGTATTTGCGTGCTGGTTGTACTATTCGATCAGGTAAATGTCCTGTATGCATGTCATAGTAAGTATTTGCGTGCCGGTTGTACTATTCGATCAGGTAAATGTCCTGTATGCATGTCATAGTAATTATTTGCGTGCCGGTTGTACTATTCGATCAGGTAAATGTCCTGTATGCATGTCATAGTAAGTATTTGCGTGCCGGTTGTACTATTCGATCAGGTAAATGTCTTGTATGCATGTCATAGTAAGAATTTGCGTGCCGGTTGTACTATTCGATCAGGTAAATGTCCTGTATGCATGTCATAGTAAGTATTTGCGTGCCGGTTGTACTATTCGATCAGGTAAATGTCCTGTATGCATGTCATAGTAAGTATTTGCGTGCCGGTTGTACTATTCGATCAGGTACATGTCCTGTATGCATGTCATAGTAAGTATTTGCATGCCGGTTGTACTATTCGATCAGGTAAATGTCCTGTATGCATGTCATAGTAAGTATTTGCGTGCCGGTTGTACTATTCGATCAGGTAAATGTCCTGTATGCATGTCATAGTAAGTATTTGCGTGCCGGTTGTACTATTCGATCAGGTACATGTCCTGTATGCATGTCATAGTAAGTATTTGCGTGCCGGTTGTACTATTCGATCAGGTACATGTCCTGTATGCATGTCATAGTAAGTATTTGCGTGCCGGTTGTACTATTCGATCAGGTACATGTGCTGTATGCATGTCATAGTAAGTATTTGCGTGCCGGTTGTACTATTCGATCAGGTAAATGTCCTGTATGCATGTCATAGTAAGTATTTGCGTGCCGGTTGTACTATTCGATCAGGTACATGTCCTGTATGCATGTCATAGTAAGTATTTGCGTGCTGGTTGTACTATTCGATCAGGTAAATGTCCTGTATGCATGTCATAGTAAGTATTTGCGTGCCGGTTGTACTATTCGATCAGGTAAATGTCCTGTATGCATGTCATAGTAATCATTTGCGTGCCGGTTGTACTATTCGATCAGGTAAATGTCCTGTATGCATGTCATAGTAATTATTTGCGTGCCGGTTGTACTATTCGATCAGGTACATGTCCCGTATGCATGTCATAGTAAGTATTTGCATGCCGGTTGTACTATTCGATCAGGTAAATGTCCTGTATGCATGTCATAGTAAGTATTTGCGTGCCGGTTGTACTATTCGATCAGGTAAATGTCCTGTATGCATGTCATAGTAAGTATTTGCGTGCCGGTTGTACTATTCGATCAGGTAAATGTCCTGTATGCATGTCATAGTAAGTATTTGCGTGCCGGTTGTACTATTCGATCAGGTAAATGTCCTGTATGCATGTCATAGTAAGTATTTGCGTGCCGGTTGTACTATTCGATCAGGTAAATGTCCTGTATGCATGTCATAGTAAGTATTTGCGTGCCGGTTGTACTATTCGATCAGGTACATGTCCTGTATGCATGTCATAGTAGGTATTTGCGTGCCGGTTGTACTATTCGATCAGGTAAATGTCCTGTATGCATGTCATAGTAAGTATTTGCGTGCCGGTTGTACTATTCGATCAGGTACATGTCCTGTATGCATGTCATAGTAGGTATTTGCGTGCCGGTTGTACTATTCGATCAGGTAAATGTCCTGTATGCATGTCATAGTAAGTATTTGCGTGCCGGTTGTACTATTCGATCAGGTAAATGTCCTGTATGCATGTCATAGTAAGTATTTGCGTGCCGGTTGTACTATTCGATCAGGTAAATGTCCTGTATGCATGTCATAGTAAGTATTTGCGTGCCGGTTGTACTATTCGATCAGGTACATGTCCTGTATGCATGTCATAGTAAGTATTTGCGTGTCGGTTGTACTATTCGATCAGGTAAATATCCTGTGTGTGCATGTCGTAGTAAGTATTTGCGTGCCGGTTGTACTATTTTGTCATTTAATATAATGTCTTGGTAAATACATGTGGTTGTGTGACGGATGCATATTCGGTGTGGTAGTAAATATACTATGCTTTCATATCATAGTCAGTATAGTCGGTTGTACTATACGGTTAGATTGTAAATTATGCTGTATGTTCTCATGGCATAGTTAGTGAGTTGAATTGTCTATAAAGCGCCATGTTAAAGGGGCATGCTCTCAGTAATATTCGGTGAGATAAATCTTTCAGGCGGTGTGCTGACGTGGACATTGCATTAGCATTCAAGATATATATCTAATAGATTTGGATGATCGAGTAAGCTTGTTTTCGTGTTGACCACCAAATTGTACATATTGAATAGTGTCTCATTTATTTAAATTAATGCTTATTTCAGAAATTCTTGAAGGACACCCCAGGAACAAAGGCACCGACAAATGTGACTATTATCGGAGGATTTCCAAACTTCGAGTTCTTCGTTCCATCAGCTGCTGATGTGGGGTATCTGTCCTTCGGGGGGAACTGGCTTGGAGACGAAGCGAAAACAATGGCCATGTAAGAATAGATATGTGCTTTAAAAACATCTGCGATGACACTACTTTTTATAGATCCATTATCTATCCTGAATGTATAATTAAAAAAAATAATTTATTATTTGTCTGTCAGGTATTCATGCCGACGTTATCTTGAGCCAACATTTAAATTAATGTACATTTATAATGCACAGAATGAAACGGACCTATTGACGTATTTACATTAAAACGACAAAAAAAGACAACAGAAACAGAAGAAACATATACAGTAAACCACGGTTATAACGAACACGCTTATAGCGAACTGACGGATATAACGAACTTACTTTTTTGGTCCCGACTATTTGCTGTACTTATGCTGTATATATACAGTAAAGTACGTTTATAACGAACACGCTTATAACGAACTGACGGATATAACGAACTGATTTTTTTGTCCCGACTATTTGCTATAGTTATGCTGTATATGTGCTTATTACGAACTACGGTAGTAACAAACTAAAGTTAGTGGTCCTTTCGAGTTCGTTATAACCGTAGCTTACTGTACTTATAACGAACTACGGTTATAACGAACTAAAATTAGTAGTCCCCTTGAGTTCGTTATAACCGTACTTTACTGTATATCCATGTTGAGTGGACTAGGGACAACGGATGGCTTAGTCGTCTAAAGGGCGGCAATTCGCTGTGCAGCGTTGAGCTCCAAGGGCAGGCCAGAAACCTATGATCGTGGGTTCGAATCCCGATTCGCCAACATTATGTTATTAGGGGGAACGGGTGGCCCAGTCGTATAAGGCGCCGCGATTCGCTGTGCAGAGTTGCGTCCCTTGGGCACGCAAGAAACCTATTATTGTTGGTTCGAATCCCGGTTCGCCCCGATTATGTTTCTAGGTTTGTCAGCACCATACCCGTGCTCGTGGGTTTCACCGAAGTGGTAAACATCTGAGACCTGCATCACTTCAGGCTTTCCTCCCACATTAAGCTGACACGACACGATATAATTGGAATACTGTTAAAAGCGGCGTTAAACAGAACTCACTCTCTAACTCACTCATTCAGGGAAATGAAATTCATTTGAAATATTTTCTCAAAACATGCAAGATTGATAGAATTTGAGTGAGCGAGTTAGATTTAACTCGCTGGTTTCACCAAACTTGTAACCGATCAATCATTTCGGGCTTTCCTTCCCAAAAAAAAAAACACGCCGTGATGTATTTGTTTGTTTGTTTGTTTGTTTGTTGTTTAACGCCGCCATGATGTAACTGAAATTGAGTTCAAAACGGCGTTGAACGAAAACTCACTCTCACCATAATATCCATCATATCTTATATGTCGTTTAACTTCTTAGGTACAATGTTACGAATCCAATTGGTATAGACCTGCTCGACGGATATGAAGGCGGACCAGTCTGTATGTTCAGTCCCACCGGAAGTGCGGTAGTTATCTCCCCTTTCAACCAGTTTATGTCTGCTTCAATGTGGGTGAACAAAAAGGGACTTTTCCGTGGAAGTGTTCACTGGGGCATCATGGGAACTGTTGACCTCATCCCAGCTGGGTTTGAATACCAGACAATAATGTACTACGGCGAAGGAATAAACAATGTAGGTATAGGTATATTTTAAGGATTGGATGTGGTGAGGTGAGGTGAAATGGGGTTTAACGTCGCGTCCAAGATTATTGCACTTATATAGCGACGTGCATGTACGTGTGTGTGTTTGTGTGGCTGCTTGTACTAGTCCGGACTGATGCCGATTTATGGTGCTAGCCCACTGAGATACCATGCCGCAGTTTAACATGAATACCCCACTCAGACACAGTATACTGACTCCGAGCCGACCAGTCCTTGTTTTAACCCCTAAATGCCGAGCGCCAGACAGGGTAACAACAAGTACCATCTTTTAACGTCTTTTGGTATGACGCGGCCGGGGATCGAACCCCTGACCTTCCGCTCTCCAGGCGGACGCTCTACCACTAGACCACGGAGGCGGTCGGATTGGATGTGTATTTCGATCGTTTCGTTGAGGTAATCAAAAATCAGATGTGCAAACTGTAGGAATCCGCGAAGCAGATTCTTACAAAGGTTTCCCATGGGTTCACTAGCTCACCTTCCACGACCTCTGGCATTTTGCAACTTCCCATGACGATTCAATCGAACTAGATATTTCAAAAATATTTTCCGTTTAAAAATAAGTTGTTTTCATTAAAGATATAGCTTAACAGATTGGGGTAAAAACACATTTATTAAATTAGATTTATTCAAGAGAGTTAAAGAGGTCGTTAGAGGCGACGTAAGGGATCGGATGGCCAGGGTCGGTGCCATGGCTTGTGGCGTGGATCGTTGCTCAAACACTGGAGTGTCTGGTCTAGACTTGATTATTTACAGGCAGCTGTCGTATAGCGGAACTATTAGTATTGTATTGCTTTCCGATATTGTAAAGGATCACCAATAAAAAAAATGACAACAGTGATAATCGTTTTATGCTAATCGTAAGAGGCGACTAAATGGACAAGAAGGTGTGTGGACGGCCTCCGTGGTCAAATGGTAGAGCGGAAGGTCCGGGGTTCGATCCCCGACCGCGTCATACCAAAAGACGTTAAAAGATGGCACTTGTTGTTACCCTGTCTGGCGCTAGGCATTAAGGGGCTAAAACAAGGACTGGTCGGCTCGGAGTCAGTATACTGTGTCTGAGTGGGGTAATCATGTTAAACTGCGGCATGGTGTCTCAGTGAGCTAGTACTATAAATCGGCATCAGTCCGGACTAGTACAAGCAGCCACACACACACACAGACGTGCCTGCACGTCGCTACATAAGTGAAATAATCTTGGACGCGACGTTAAAACCCATTTCACCTCACTTCACCTCTGTGAAGTGGTCGTACAATCCTGATAGTGTCAATCACTGGATTATCTTGACCAGACTCGATTATTTACAAACAGCCGTAATATCGTTTTGATGTTGCCGTTAAATAACAAAGAAATAAATGTATAAATGTATACTTTTATGTATAAAATGTATGCTAAAATCTTTGATCGGAATACTTTTAATGTCAATAGAAATTATATTTATATGTACATATATTTTAACACTGATTTTCTCTAATTTTGCAGGCGTTTGAAGGATGGGGCAAACTCATGAGGAAGTGGTATGGAAAAAGGGATTTGAGAAGTAGTGACATCACCCTCACGAATATGGGGTACTGGACGGACGAAGGTATCCATAGCAACTTTCACACATAAATAAAATGTCTCAACATCGACATTAAAAACACTTGTATTTGTTTCTCACATCACTTTTTGTGTTGGATTTGTTACTGATGTGCTACAGTATACTACGGTTATAACGAACACGCTTATAACGAACTGACGGATATAACGAACTTACTTTTGGGTCCCGACTATTTGCTGTTGTTATACTGTATATATGCTTATAACGAACTACGGTTATAACGAACTAAAATTAGTAGTCCCTTTGAGTTCGTTATAACCGTACTTTACTGTACATTGATACAGGCACGGCCTATCACGATGCTCCGGAGGAAGGTAAAGATTATGAAGACACACTTCTAGAACTGAAAGAAAATCCAAAACAGAAGCATGTACCTTACAAGTATGTATGTAAATACCTCTAGTTACCATGGTGACATGACATTACCTTACAGTTGTGTTTTAATTATACAATCAGAGCAATTAGGTGAGGTGAGGTGAAATTGGGTTTCACGTCGCGTCCAAGATTATTGCACTTATATAGCGACCTGTGTGTGTGTGTGTGTGTGTGTGTGTGTGTGTGTGTCCGGACTGATGCCGATTTATAGTGCTAGCACACTGAGATACCATGCCGCAGCTAAACATGAATACCCCACTCAGACACAGTAAACTGACTCCGAGCCGACCAGTCCTTAATGCCGAGCGCCAGACAGGGTAACAACAAGTACCATCTTTTAACGTCTTTTGGTATGACGCGGCCGGGGATCGAACCCCTGACCTTCCGCTCTCCGGGCGGACGCTCTACCACTAGACCACGGAGGCGGTCACATCAGAGCAATTAAATACTATTTCTTTTCACATAACCCATATAATACCTTTAGATAACATGGTGACATGTTGTTACCTTGCATTAAATCATTGTATTATTGACGGTAATAAACACAGTGGAATCTCGTTTGCCAGATTGCAGATTGATGTGTAATTAAAGGTGATGCTTCTGTTTAGTCAAGGCAAATAATCACCGACACTCCCCGTGTCTTGTACTATGGGTGAGGTTAGGTGAAATGGGTTTTTTAAAAGATTATTGCATTTATATAGCGACGAGCATCCACGGAAGAGCGGAAGGTCAGTGGTTCGATCCCCTGGCCGCGTCATACCAAACGACGTTAAACAATATCCTCACAGCCCGGAGCCCGCATAAAGGGGTTAAAACAAGGACTGGTCGACACCACACGCACACAAGGACTGGTCGACACCACACGCACGCACGCACGCACGCACGCACGCAAGCACGCACGCACACGTCGCTATATAAGTGCAATGGTCTCAAACGTGTCGTTAAAGACGATTTCAACTGCCTTCAACTTAGATGTGACGAGAGGATGTAAATGTTTCAGATACGTACAACTGGACGACTGGCTGTATGAACGAGACGACAACAATGGAACGATCTCACTGACACCCAGGAACGGCACAGTACCTGACGGCCTAACGTACGTACCACCCCCCGAACTACCTCACAGTTGTAGCACTGATTGAAGACATATCTGTGGTACTTCCAAGGATTTAAAATACATTAAGATTCTAAGTTAGTAAGTTCGTGCAATAGTTCAAGTGGACGAAAATCAAAATTAAAAGAAAACGTTTTCTGGTTCCCAGTTTACGAGGGCGCCGTTATTGGCTGTGCAAAGTTGCATGATTATGGCGTTCGGGAGTATTATACCAGTCTGTTTCTCTATAGTAACAACCCGTGAAGATTCCGGGGTAGAATAGGTCTTCAGCAACCCATGCTTGCCGTAAAAGGTGACTATGCTTGTCGTAAAAGGTGACTAACTGGATCGGGTGGTCAGGCTTGCTGACTTGGTTGATACATGTCATCGATCCCAATTAGGTGGATCGATGCTCATGATATGAATCACTGGATTGTCTGGTCCAGACTCGATTATTTACAGACCGCCGTCATATAGCTGGAATATTGCTGAGTGAGGCGTTAAACAACGGCGTTACTTGGACATTTCGTGTCTTATCACGACGTCGTGGATCGTTGCACGCAATGTATATAACTGGATTGTCTGGTTCAGACTCGATTATTCACAGGTCGCCGCAAAAAAAGCTGACATATTGATGAATGCGGCGTTAACAATAAGCAAACAAGTACAATGGCCAACCTGAGGCACTTGGGGACCATACCGGGGTATTGTGTAAAAATAGCAATGATTAATCACACTTTGTAATTGTAATTTCGCATTGACATTTATATTGATACAAACTCTCTTTTGTAGATTTCTGCACGAAAAAACAGGACTAGCCATTGTTCTTCAGAACGGGTTTTGGTAAGTAGTCATGACAAACTTAATGACGAACTACTTCTACACCTAACTAATGATTGGTACAATGATTGGTACAATTGGATTCAAACATATTTTTTTTACGCTGAAACAATTTCTCATGTTTTCAGTTAATTTATCAATTAAAATAATGTATTGATTTTAATTTGGTTACAGGAACAGAAACAATCACATCGTGCCATATGATATTGACATTGCGTATTGAAATTTTCAAGGTCAAACGAAACATCATATGCTTCACAAAATGGCGGCAACTTCTCCTTCTTGATCAGTGGATCCTCAGCTGTTCCCCTTGGAGGGGTAAGTGTTTAATATATATTTGGATTCGGGGTTTCACTAATTCGTACGAAGTCACAGTTGTTTGTTGGATCAGTAACCTTTTTTAGTTACCACATTTCAGATGGTTCTGTCAGCGCTAAACATATTCTACTCTACCGTAATGCTTTGTGTACTTTGTTGTCATTGGATGCGAGGATTCAAAATGACTGGACTCTTGTACATAATGTTGTGACCTGCGTAGTGTAATGGCGATCATCGCAAACGTTTTATTGTGCATTAAATGTGTAAATTAATAGACAATGAATGTTGACTTTCTATTATTTCAGGACTTTTGGGATTACCTCTTCTCTAAAGCTAAGGCCTGGGGACTTAAAGTATACCAACAGGTATAACACGTGTCTCATTAGTATTAGTCAAAGGACCCGTGAAGATCCGGGGTAGAATAGGTCTTCAGCAACCCCTGCTTGCCGTAAGAGGCGACTAACGGGATCGGGTGGTCAGGCTCGCTGACTTGGTTGATATATGTCATCCTATCCCGATTGCGTGGTTCGATGCTCATGATGTCATTCACCGGACTGTCTGGTTCAGATTTGATTATTTACAGAACACCGTCATATAGCTGGAATATTGCTGAGTGCGGTGTTAAACAACAAACAAACAAAACAATATTAGCCAAAGTGTGACGTATTTTGTAAAGGGTATACCGATTCAGGTTAATATTGTCAATGTAGCACAGAATCCCACACACAGGTAAGACCGTACATGTGCCTCATTGTATCAATCGCCCTGAATCTGAAAATGCATACAGGGTCGAATTGGTGTGTGATCAATAGTCGCACTTCTTCAAGGCTGTATGTAGTTTTGTTTGTTGTTTAACGCTGCATTCAGCAATAGTCCAGCTATATGACGGTGGTCTGTAAATAACCGTGTCTGGACCAGGCAATCCAGTGATTGATATCATGAGCATCTTACGACAAGCAGTCACCTTTTACAGAAAGCATGGGTTGCTGAAGACTGTATGTAGCAGATGAGAGCTAGTTGTAGTTTGACGCCGCTTTTACCAGTATTCCTGTGTCAGCTTCATGTTGGAGGAAAGCCCAAAGTGAAACCCACGAGCACGGTATGGTGCTGACAAACCTAGAAACATTATCAGAACGAATCTTGAGCTAGAACCCACGACACAAGGGACACATCTCTACCACCGTGTGCATGTAGTACATAATCACTGCCCGAAAAGGCAAAAGGTCCACTACTTCCGGGAAGTAGAAACTTATTTTGTAATGTCACAAATAGTATCCATCCGATACCCGTTGTAGAGGTTGTAATGTCAGACAAGGGGTACTTGGATCGTCAAGGACAATAATCTATCCTGAACGATGTCTCTTCTTGAATAAGTACTGGAAAACATAAATTTTCGTTGTCTTTAAAATATTAAAACTCTTTGCTTGATATTCTGGATGTTCTTAAAACATTATAATACAAAAACAGATTGTTGACGATTCAGAGAAGAAAATTTACATGTGTGTTGATCCAAGGGGGAAAGATGTACATGCATTTCTTGAAGCATTGGCGGATACAATGTCTCAAACATATACTCCCATTGCCTCTTGCCATCCAATACTTGTATGTTAAATGGTCTGCACCGTTTAATGGTTGTTCGTTCTACTTTCGACGTCGAAATTCCAGTGTCTATGAAATATAGAGCAGAGATGCACGTGGGACGACGTCTTCCCGAGGCAAGAGAGTTAACTGACTTTAAAAGTCCAGGTTCCACCCTTGCCGAACTAGACTGGAATTCCTTGGCTCGATTGTTGCACCACCATTGGCTGTTACGAGTTATGTCCCTTCTATGCCTCTCCTATGGACCAATCTCGTATCACTTGCATTTGTTTCAAACCAAATGGCGGCGCCCAGACAAGACGATCTCATCGACAATCAAGATCTACATTGTGATAAAACGGGTCTTACATCGCGAAGTGCATCAAATCATATGATCACCTTGATTAAAAACTTGAAAAGATTAGGAAAATATCTGTTTACAACGAGTTGGCGGTGCAAATGCTTTGCAAATACTGCAATCGACCGAACTCTGAATGACAGTTTACGAACCGGATTTCGATTACGGTTCGCGATTTTGATTGGACTAAGCATAGCCTCGTTAGTCCAGCCAAAATCGAACTCCATAATACCAGCCTAGTTTGGCAAGGGTGGAAACTGGACTTTTATAGTCAGTTAACTCCCTTGCCTCGGGAAGATGGTGGGGTTATTAAACACTTGACTGTTTTCAGGACTGGATGAAGGAACAGTCGTTATTGGTGAAAGAGTTCCAGACAAACCTGTCACTGGGTAGGCAATGGTTGGTGGACATGGGTCTGGCTGCTGAGAGATACGGCATCACTATACAATACAGCGGCGCCCTTCCCAGACACGCCCTGCAGTCTCTAGAGATACCCGCTGTCACTCAGGTATGTACAAAGAGCATTCGGATCCATTCGGCTTATTCCGTTATCTACATAATACTTCCGTTATCTACATAATACTTCTGATAACCGTATCATTTTATCGTTATGTCGATTGTAACTCCCACACTTAAACAGACTTTCGGAAGTCGTAGCTCTACGACCGCTTTATGGAACAGGGCCCGTTCTATGTTAAAGAGGAACTGACAATCAAACTGCAGTAAACTACGTTTATAACGAACACGCTTATAACGAACTGACGGATATAACGAACCTACTTTTTGTCCCGACTATTTGCTGTCGTTATGCTGTATATATGCTTATGACGAACTACGGTTATAACGAACTAAAATAAGTGGTCCCTTTGAGTTCGTTATAACCGTAATTTACTGTACCATATTTCCTCTATTGGATGCTAGGCCATCTATTAATTTCGCGAGAGCCGTTGTCCCGGTGTGTATTAAAGTAATGTTTTTGAGACCCAGACTGTAATAGAGGAAATATCGATACTTTTTGCAGCTCCTATGGGTGATCGTTCGGCAGCAATTTTTAATGAATCGCGCGATCGATATGAAGGATATTCATATGCATGTTTTTTATGGTAAAAGGCTTAATATAGTTAAAAGTGGTTTCCGTAGCAAAAAGCAAACCTTTTTTAACCAATTAGAATAGAAAAATGTTTCAATATCATGGTAGACTACAGTATAGACATTGCGAACAAAGATCCACGCCTTCGGGAAAAAGGACACGCTACCAAACAAGTCAATGTGTCTGAGCCCCCGAATGATTTGGCCGCCTCTTACAACCAGCAAAGGTTTCTGGGGAGCAACCCATACTTGCAGTAAAAGGCGACTATGCTTGTGGTAAAAGGCGACTAACGGGATCGGGTGGTCAGGCTCGCTGACTTGGTTGATGCATGTCATCGATCCCAATTGCGTGGATCGATGCTCATGATATCAATCACTGGATTGTCTGCTTTTATTTATTTTCCAGGCCCGGGTCAGTGAGGACTTTGGGGAAAGCATGGATCAGTGGAAAATTGGAATAACCTCGATATTTGCAAATGCTCTTGGACTTGCTCCTTTTAAAGACAGCTTCATTTCAACCCATGATGCTTTTACAAACTCTTCAAGTAAGAACTGAGATTGATAATAATTCAACGAACCGTTCTATCAAGAGTCAACTGGATAGTATTTGAATTTGAATGTCTTACATTGTTTTACAGCATGCAACATCGTGTAGGGGGCGCATTCAACCACTCGTTCACATTATTATGTGCAAAATATGCATTGGTCTGAGAAGCCGGACAAAAGAAGTATACACTTGAAAATTGGATATGACCAAAACATTACAAATGTTATAAAATGTTACAGGGTTGAAACCAGTCCCCGAAACATTGCAAACACAACTGTGATACATCACCGACCCGTGAAGATCCGTGGTAGAATAGATCTTCAGCAACCCATGCTCGCCATAAAAGGCGACTATGCTTGTCGTAAAAGGCGACTAACGGGATCGGGTGGTCAGGCTCGCTGACTTGGTTGATGCATGTCATCGATCCCAATTGCGTGGATCAATGCTCATGAAGTCAATCACTGGATTGTCTGGTCCAGATTCGATTATTTACAGACCGCCGTCATATAGCTGGAATATTGCTGAGTGCGGCGTTAAACAACAAACCAACCAACCAACATCACCGTCGAATAACTATTTCTCGTTTGTGTCAGATTTAGTCGCCATCAATTCTTTGTTCTGGAGGGAAGTTATAACACAGGGCATTAACTTTCTGTCACTGTGAACGTAACAGAAGCGCTATGAAATACAATATCACCTAACTATGCTACTATTTCATTGATATGTCTAAAACACTACCTGTATAATGTCTAACGCTAACAGTGAGATTGACCCGTGAAGATCCCGGATAGAATAGGTCTTCAGCAACCCATGTTTCCGTAAAAGGCGACTAACGGGATCAGGTGGTCAGGCTCACTGATGCATGTCATCGATCCCAATTGAAGGATCGATGCTCAGGATGTCAATCACTGGATTGTCTGGTCCGGACTCGATTATTTACAGGCTATCGTCATTAACCGGAATATTACTGTGTGCGGCGTTAACCGACAAAGAACTAACACACCTAGTTTTGTTTGTTTGTTGTGTAACGCGGCACTCAGCAATATTCCAGCGAAATGACGGCGGTCTGTATGCCATGAAGACCAAAATTTACAGAATCTGTCTTATACCCACTCATAAATGCTGTTCATTTAATAACTGCTTTAATAAAACTACTTAAGTTCATTCTGGAAGATCTGGAACGATGGAATATGCCTTGTATCTTTACATGAAAAAAAGATTTCTGCAAAGAATAATTATAAGATTTAATGGGTCATTATTGTGTAATTGGTATCCAAGCACAACATGTCTTTTTGTGATATTTCCTTTCCAGTTTCCAGTGAATTCTATGCTTGTCTTAAGAGGCGACTAACAGTATCGCGTGGTCAGGCTCGCTGACTTGCATTGATGCTCATGATATGAATCTCTGAAATGTCTGGTCCAGATTCAATTATTTACAGACCGCCATCATATAGCTTGAATATTGCTGAGTGCGGCGTTAAACAACAAACAAACAAACAAACAAATAACAGTGAGATTACATGTTGTTTTCTAGACACTCGGTTAGAATTTGAATCTATGGTTGCCACTATCAGTACGGGCGCAGTCGGCCTTGGGAACAAGATAGATTCGGACGTGAAATTCAACGTAGCACAAAGGTAAGGTCTAGTGTGTCCGCTATGAACTGCCTCCATGTTGTACAATATTGTACCGACAACAATATTCTAAACAATACTATTCCAGTAATGTCAAGGCAGAGAGGACCTCCTCCGTGGTCTAGTGGTAGAGCGTCCGCCCGGAGAGCGGAAAGTCAGTGTTACCCTGTCTGGCGCTCGGCATTAAGGGGCTAAAACAAGGACTGGTCGGCTCGGAGTCAGTATACTGTGTCTGAGTGGGGTATTCATGTTAAACTGCGGCATGGTATCCCAGTGTGCTAGCACTATAAATCGGCATCAGTCCGGACTAGTACAAGCACACACACACACACACACACACACACACACACACACACACACACACACACACGTCGCTATATAAGTGCAATCATCTTGGACGCGACGTTAAACCCAATTTTACCTCACCTCACCACATCGTCAAAACAGCAGCCTTCAGGTTTAGTCGAAAAAGCGTCAAATTATGTTTCCAAATCGATGTTGTTCCTACTATGAACACAAATTAGGTGACATGCATATTAATCAATATAGTAAAGACGACAAATTTATGTAATTCATTAAATGTGAAGATAAAAATAGTACTCCATTAATAATTGGGCAGAATGTGTGAATTTGCATTCACAGAATCAGATGAATACGGGAATGTAAGAACTCTTTCAGATCTGAATTAAGGCCATCTATTCTCTTTCTTGTAGTACGACATCTAGTCTCTGTTATGTAGTACGTTATTTATTCTGTATCATGTATCACGATGTCGTCCTATCTTATGATTTGTGATGCCACTAATGGTTTCCGTATAGGGAGTGAGTGAGTACGGTTTTACGCCGCTTTTTGCAATATTCCAGCAATATCACGGCTTCACACATTGTACCCATGTCGGGAATCGAACCCGGGTCTTCGGCGTGACGAGCGAACGCTTTAACCACTAGGCTACCCGACCGCCCGGTTTCCGTATAGATATCTTCTTTGGCTTAGTCTTAGTACCCGTGGACACATAATATGAAAATGTATTGTCGAGATCCACGACAAATTATCTCCAGAACACTGCTACAATGGCCTGTATTTCGTTTTTTCTGTTTTAGTTGCTGCAATGCTGATGGTCTGATTCTTGGTCCATCAAGACCAGCCACAGCAATTGATGCCCAGATCATGGAGGTAACGTCTTCATTTGGCTCAAATAGTTGAGCGCCCAACTGCATTACCTAGGAGTGGACCCCTGAACATCCAGGGTAGAACAGGTCTTGGTTGATGCATGTCATCCTATCCCAATTGATGGATCGATGCTCTTGATTGTCTGGTCAAGATTCGATTATTTACAGACCGCCGTCATTTCGCTGGAATATTGCTGAGTGCCGCGTTACACAACAAACAAACAAAACTAGGTGTGTTAGTTCTTTGTCGGTTAACGCCGCACACAGTAATAACCCGGTTAATGACGATAGCCTGTAAATAATCGAGTCCGGACCAGACAATCCAGTGATTGACATCTCGAGCATCGATTCACGCAATTGAGATATGATGACATGCATGAACCAAGTCAGCGAGCAATATCAAGACACTAGGCTTCAAACATATTCATTTCTTGATTTGAAATAACATATGATAATTATTTTATAAAGTAATTCGTATATTATACATGTGATATTTATAATCATAAACTGCTGTTATACATGTCAGTAAAACATTTTTGTGAATGTGTAAAAATATTAAACCTGTTGCCTATTCCATGAGCAAGATTGACCCGTGAAGATCCGGGGTAGAATAGGTCCTCATGATCAGCAACCCATGCTTGCCGTATATGGCGACTGTGCTTGTCGTAAGAGGCGACTAACGGGACAGGGTGGTCAGGCTCGCTGACTTGGTTGATGCATGTCATCGTATCCCAATTGATGGATCGATGCTCTTGATGTCAATCACTGGGTGGTCTGGTCCAGATTCGATTATTTACAGACCGCCGTCATGTAGCTGGAATATTGTTGAGCGCGGCGTTAAACAGCAAACAAACAAACAAACAAACAAACATTAGAAAGATTACAACATGTATCCTGTTTGTTCACAGGGAGCCTATAACAACAGCATGGGCCCAAAGGGTGAAGTCTGGACATCCTACAGCGTGATCGGGAAATATACATTTGGAATGATCTTTTCCTCCCTGGAAGGCCGTCACAAATACAACGTGACTATAACGGATCAATTCGGACCAGATGTAATATACCATATTGTTATCTTTTATATTTCAACATCATTTTGCAAGTGCGAATAATTGGTTTGTTGTTTAACGCCGAACTCAGCAATATTCCAGCTTTATGGCGGCGGTGAAGATCTTGTATTTGAAGCCATGTTTATGTTCAGGGTCGGGGGTTTATCCTGTTACCACCCTGTATCATGGTCAGCTTCCATTATGGGATACAACAAGGTTCATGCATTTGCCCTACACCTCGCCCGGTCGTTCATCCAACATCATTCAAGTCCCGTCCAATCTGTAGATCATCCGGATAACTATGAACCCCAATGAAGACTCCGGGGTAGAATAGGTCTTCAGCAACCCATGCTTGCAGTAAAAGGTGACTATGCTTGTCGTAAAAGGCGACTAACGGGATCGGGTGGTCAGGCTCCCTGACTTGGTTGATGCATGTCATCAATCCCAATTGCGTGGATTGATGCTCATGATATCAATCACTGGATTGGCTGGTCCAGACTCGATTATTTACAGACCGCCGTCATATAGCTGAAATACTGCTGAGTGCGGAGTTAAACAACAAACCAACCAACAACCAACATCATTCAACTCCGGTCCGACCGGTACACCATCCGGATAACTATGAACCCCAATACCTTTAGCTCGGCTTCCCCGCGCTGGCACATCCTGTCGATGCAGGTGCGACAACTCAACTGATCGGGGTTGATTAAGCAGCATTTTGGACACTAAGTGTATAAGAAAAACATTTCCTTAGCTGATGTTGAACCCCATGCTGAGTTCCTGAGCAGTAATTGTCACCAGTGTGTCCTGGTAGTGCCGGATAATCACTCCTGAGAAGATGGCTTCAAGGTCTGGCTCGTCATCTCAGAAGAACTCCAAACATTGAGCAAAATATCAGAAAAAGACTCCTTAATTGGCTATACCCTGACAAAATATACTGAACAACAAAAGTTCCTGTGACAATGAATACGATTTAATGCAAAGTTATGTTTTTTTTACCAAATCTGAAACAATTTCGGTTTGCAACAGATAAAAGACTCCCTGTAAGTGGTCAAATGGTTTAATTTGCCATACTGACTTCAGAAAATGCGTGATTTCATTAAAAAAAAAACCCACATGAACATGCCAAAATGTCACTCTACAAATCAATAGCGTGTGTGTCAACCTCTGGTTGCGATGTAAGCAACACATCTAAGTCTCATGGAATGGACCAGGCGTCGCACAAATTCCTGTGGGATATCTGTCCATATCTGCTGGAGCTTGTTTCGAAGTTCCTGGAGTGTCTGTGGAACACGTGTTTGACTTCGAAGGCGCCGATCCATCTCATCCCACATGTGCTCGATTGGTGAGAGATCAGGGGAGCGAACCGGCCAGGGGATGACATTCACGTTGTTTTGTTGAAGAGAATCCTGATCAAGTTGAGCAATTTGTGGCTGGGCGTTGTCATGTTGAAAGGTAATGCCTGGGCCATGACGACGCAAAAACGGTAGAACAATAGGGCCGATGACCTCGTCGCGGTAGCGCTGTCCATTGAGAATTCTCTCTTCCACTATCAAACGGGTCCTCTGTCTTGCTGTAATCCCAACCCATACCATAACGCTGCCGCCCCCGAACCGATCTTCTGCCATGACATAATGATTGACGTAACATTCACATCGACGTCGAATCCGTGAAAACGAGACTCGTCAATGAATGGCCGTCCAGCGTAGACGCTGTCCGCACCACTGTAGACGTGCTTGACGGTGGTTTCCTGTCAAAATGGGACGTCTGGCGGGTCTTCTGGCGACAATCCCTGCACATCTGAGGCGACGACGTACGGTTTGTGAAGATATTCGTCGAAGGCCAGGGATGCTTCTTGCAGTCGCTGTTGCTAGCTGGAATCGATTTCGTGGGTGTGTTGTTCGAATCCAGTTGTCTTGTCGATTATTGGTTACGCGTGGCCTGCCACTCCGAGGATGGTCTCTGAATGCATTCGTCTGTTGCAAACGTTGCCATAAACACCAAATGGTGCTTCTGTGGACGTTAAATTGTCTTGCAACATCACGTTGACTCGATCCTGCTTCAAGCATACCAATGGCTCGCAGACGCTCATTTTCGGACAGGCGTGGCATTTCGTAATGTTGAATAATTGCGTAATTTTGTTGTTTTTCTGACTGGTTGTTGTCAGCACGATGCTAAACAATGCACATGGAATCCCGTTAACGCACATGTTTTTATATCCATTCTTGGGTAGTGAAATGCATGGGGCTTGCATAAAAGTCAACTTTTGCATGGAATGCATGCTTTTCTGAAGCAGTTGCGTTTTTGTGACTTGATTCCATACATGTACTACAATATTGAAAACCAAACTTTACTTGTTTGAAAAATACACTTAAATACACATGAATGTCACATGAACTTTTGTTGTTTAGTATATATACTTGAGGGTGTTGAAACTAGAATTCAGCATGCAAACTAATATAATTCGACACCAAGATCACTCAAATCGGCCAAGTAGATCCCCATTTATGAGAAAAATCGTAATCTGGAGTTCCATTTGGCCGCCATATCTTTGCGCATGTCAGGTACTCCCGGATGTGTGATTTCATCCACCAATCACATGACGTATTTTTGTTTCAGTTTCAAGAGAGCAAACTGTACAACCCCAACTTTGTCAATTCTCTGGTCAGCGTCCACAAGGGGTTCAAGCTCCTCCTCTGCTGTTCAAATCTGCCCCCTTTTTTCACCAGTGTCTTCACATCACCGGTTCTAACTGTCGGGTAAGATATTTACTATGTTTTGTTTGTTTGTTTTTTGAACTTAGCAATATTCCAGCTATATGACGGCGGTCTGTAAATAATCGAGTCTGGACCAGACAATCCAGTGATATTCATCATGAACATCCATCCACGCAATTGGGATCGATGACATGCATCAAGCAAGCCAGCGAGCCTGACCACCCGATCCCGTTAGTCGCCTTTTACGACAAGCATAGTCGCCTTTTACGGCAAGCATGGGTTGCTGAAGCCCTATTCTACCCCGGATCTTCACGGGTCTAGTGATTCAGGTTTTAGACGTTTTCCACTTCGGCGAACCCACTATCATTGGTTTCCGGTGCGTCCAGGGTAGGCAACTCTGCAGCGCGAAATTGCGGCGCCCCAAACAACTGGCCCCTGGATAGAATTGGATAGAACTTCAGTAACCTACGCTTCTCGTAAAAGTGTAAATGGGGTCTTGGCTTGGGCAATTGCGTGTCATCGTACCCGGACGGCGTGGAACGGTGGTCATAATATCAACGACCGGTTTGGACTGATTCGCTAACTCACCACGGGTGGCCCAGCCGTCTAAGGCGCCACGATTCGCTGTGCAGAGTTGCGTCCCTTGGGCTCGCCAGAAACCTATGATTGTGGGTTTGAATCCCGGTTCGCCCCGATTATGTTTCTAGGTTTGTCAGCACCATACCCGTGCTCGTGGGTTTCACCGAAGCAGTAAACATCTGAGACCTGCATCACTTCAGGATTTCCTCCCACATTAAGCTGACACGCCGCGATATAACTGGAATACTGTTAAAAGCCGCGTTAAACCCAACTCACTCACGCACTCACGCATTAACTCACTAAGATGGGGGAACGCAGTCAGCGTCACTGAGACTGCCCAGCCGATCCAAGATAGTCGCTTTTCACCCATGAAGAGCAGGGCACGTATTCTAGCCCTCGTTCCCATGGTGAGGCAATTGTATTATAATTATATATTATATTGGATATGACATTTTTCTCAATTTAAAAAAAGCCGGCATGGTAGGACCACCCTTTTGATATTGAATCACATGAGGTCGTTCATGTCTTGCAGACCCCAGAAAACAGAGGTTGTTCTCATCGGAGAGGGGTTTAAACACGTGCCGATATCACCTAGACGTGTGAAAAGCATCAATGTCACCAGCGATGCCGTGTTTGTAACCTTGGTCGGTGTTCCTGGGGAGAGGCTCTCGTTTCTTTACGCTGTGCAAGAAGAGTGGCGGACCATTTGGTGGACCTTTGATCATACAAGGCTAGGTGTTCTTGCCCTCAACGTCTCGACGCCTTCTGTACCAACATCATCACCACTACCGCCGCCCTCTGGTGCCACAACGGTAACAAGTCAGTTTGCATATATAGCGCTGCTTGGCACCATGGGTATCGTGAGATCACATTTCAGTTTGTAACACAATAAAAACATACACTACTTTTTGTCTTTGTGCGAATGTGTTATTTATTCTACTCTGTTCCTTATACCATTGACTGTATAAATGTGGCTGTATTAATGTGACTGTATTAATGTGACTGTATGAATGTGACTATTAATGTGGCTGTATTAATGTGACTGTATTAATGTGACTGTATTAATGTGGCTGTATTAATGTGACTGTATTAATGTGACTGTATTAATGTGACTGTATTAATGTGGCTGTATTAATGTGACTGTATTAATGTGGCTGTATTAATGTGGCTGTATTAGTGTGACTGTATTAATGTGGCTGTATTAATGTGGCTGTATTAATGTGACTGTATTAATGTGGCTGTATTAATGTGACTGTATTAATGTGGCTGTATTAATGTGACTGTATTAATGTGGCTGTATTAACGTGACTGTATTAATGTGGCTGTATTAATTAGGCTGTATTAATGTGGCTGTATTAATTAGGCTGTATTAATGTGACTGTATTAATGACGCTGTATTAATGAGACTATATTAATGTGACTGTATTAATGTGACTATTAATGTGGCTGTATTAATGTGACTGTATTAATGTGGCTGTATTAATGTGACTGTATTAATGTGGCTGTATTAATGTGACTATATTAACGTGGCTGTATTAATGTGGCTGTATAAATGTGACTGTATTAATGTGGCTGTATTAACGTGGCTGTATTATTATTACGTCCATGCGCTGTAGCAGTAACTGTAATTAAGCTTTGCAATGTAGAAATACGTCCGCTCTTGTACTGTGGCAGTTTTCACAATTACGCCATTGCATCGAACCCATTAAGACCAGATCGTTTACTCCTAGACGAGTAAAGGTCTGCGGGCACGTCCACAGAAGATCGCGTTGGGTGATCAGATATAATCTCCGTCGAGCCTTTTCATTATGTAAATGATAAAGGCCGCTCCATTATGAAGTGGATAGGTAACACAGCTTGCGTTTCCCAGCGCCATGGGGACCGGGGTTTGTCCTCGATAACAGTAACGAAACTTTTTCCATAATCATAATAAAACCCGTGAAGATTCCGGGGTAGAATAGGTCTTCAGCAACCCATGCTTGCCGTAAAAGGCGACTATGCTTGTCATAAGAGGCAGCTAACGGGATCGGGCGGTGAGACTCGCTGACTTGGTTGATGCATGTCATCGATCCCAATTGCGTGGATCAAAGCTCATGATATCAATCACTGGAAATCTCTACTATAAGTCTTTGTTCAATTCTGACTATATCATAAACATGTATTTATGATTTACTGTCATATAGTGATAATACCATGTGTTCGCCGAAAGTTGGTGACATGGGTCAGTGCATGTCACCGTTTCCCAATTGCGGGGATCGATGCTCATCATTCAATCAGTGGATTGTCTGGTTCAGACTTAATCATTTACAGACTGCCGCCATATAGAAATAATGATTGTTTCTGTTGAGTGTGGTGACAAACAACAAACACAACAAAACATGAAGGTTGCTAGCATTCTGAGGAACGAACTTGACATGAAAAGGTTTCAGCACGCTTGCTTCCAAGGCTTCTGAGGGATGATCAGGAACGCTCCAGTTTCCTCATCTCTCGTGAGAACTGACGTAATATTGATGGAAGCAGACCCTGCATGTAGCGCGGTTTAAAACATGGGTCGTGAGAATATCAAGGGTAAACTAAAGGTTTGTTTCACTCAGCACAAGTCTGTTGTCACAATGAGCATCCTCCGTATTCACCGACCCGTGACGATCCGGGGGTAGAATAGGTCTTCAGCAACCCATGCTTGTCGTAAAAGGCGACTAACGGGATCGGGTGGTCAGGCTCGCTGACTTGGTTGAAGCATGTCATCGATCCCAATAACGTGGATCGATGCTCGTGTCAATCACTGGATTGTCTGGTCCAGACGCGATTATTTACAGACCGCCGTCAAAGCGCTGGAATATTGCTGAGTGCGGCGTTAAACAACGAACAAATATTTAGACAATAACAAAAGAAATACTTGTATCATAGGTGTACATATCGAGTGCGTTATTTCCTAGTGTTAATTCAAACTCCATTGTAGTTCAATAGCATTTCTGCTCTATTTCACAGTCAAATAGTTCAAGTCGATATTTTCGTATTTGGCCATTACGAGTTATGGCCCTTCTATGCACCTTCTATTCACCAATCAGATTCCATCTATCATGTCACTTGCAATTAGCTTCAAACAAAATGACGGTGCCCAGTCAAGACGATCTGCACGATACTCAAGGTCTTTATTGTAATACAACGGGTCTTACCCCACAAAGTGCATCAGATCATGTGAGCACCTCGGTTAAAAGCATGAAAGAATTTGCAAAATATCTGTCAACGCCCAGTTGGCGGTACACATGCTTTGCAAATCCTGCAGTCGACCAAAATCTGCACGTTGAAATCCATGTTGTTTACGAACCGTATGTCTAGTTCGTTACGCTATTTTGATTGGACTATGCATAGACTCGTTTGTCCAGCCAAAATGTAACTCCATAATTGCAGCCTAGTTCGGCAAGGGTGGAAACTGGACTTTCATAGTCAGTTAATTCCCCTGCCTCGGGAAGATACAGAAAACGAAGATGCACAAACCTGTTACGATACATTTTCGCACTCCAAAGTTAAATTTTTATTTCACTGTCTCCCGATCTGAATGAATGACACAAGATGATGGGATCTGAGCATAGAAATTCACAATGATTGTATACGATGTGGCAATTCCCCTTTCATATCTAGATTTCTCAATTGCTTATGTACTTTAGATCATTTAAATATTATTCATATTTAAGACACGTTTTGCTTAGAATTACGCTCTATAAGGACAACCGTTCTTAGCATAGACCAAACAATTCAACGACGTTATTTCCCTAAACAGTTATGTTCCTCTGAGACAGATATAGACACAGTGGGTCCATTTGTACCTGGACCCTAAGCTTACCGGGCGAACCAACAGTTGAACCAGTAAAATAAAATGAACCCTTCTCATGAAGTGACTCCCTCTCACCTTGTTAAACTCCTGATTTTTAGTGATCCATTCATATAATTCTTCACCGCTGTTTTGCCCTTCACCACTCCTGGAGCCTGATAATCGAGACTGGTTATTCTCTGGCATTGACGATTTATATTCACAAATACATTTGTAATGCTTAATGATGTTAGGTTACAGATAACAAAAATAATTCTCGGGCACTTTTGAAAACAAAAGTACTGTGGTAGGAACACTGTCGTTCACCAAGAATACCAACAAACGCGACCCGATAGGTCCGGGGTAGAATAGGTCTTCAGCAACCCATGCTTGCCGTAAAAGGCGACAATGCTTGTCGTAAGAGGCGACTAACGGGATCGGGTGATCAGGCTCTCTGACTTGGTTGATGCATGTCATCGTTCCCAATTGCGTGGATCGATGGTCATGATGTCAATCACTGGATCGTCTGGACTTGATTATTTACAGACCGCCGTTATAAGGCTGGAATACTGTTGAGGGCGGCGTTAAACAACAAACAAACAACGAACCAACCAACCAACAATCGCAATTGGGCGCACATTGAACTCCTTAATACAATGTCAGTTGTCAGGTATGGATAACATATGACCGGACCTTTTGAAAAATATTTTTTGTCAATAAACATTTCTGACGTAACTGATTTAAGGGGAGAAACGTTACCTACATCGTGTACGTGAAAGCAGAAATTCAAACAAACATGTATGTCCCATTCAAATTCCACCCCTAGCGTTCCATTCCACGAGTCACTAAATAATAACAATCAACAATGTCATGTAGTAAACTAGTGTAACATTCTGGCTACGATATAAAAACAACAGCTCCTTTTGATGAATAAAATAGTTGCGGTTTAGTGGGTTTTATTTAGTTAAATAGACTTGAACCCCTTGAGGGCCAACACATCTATAAAACTGTAGGCCCTGTGCAAATTGTACAGGCCGTAACTCTTCAAAGGAATTCATATTCTGCAAATTTGAATGCAATAAAAAAAACGTCAAACGCCAACTTTGCTGAAACATGTCAAATACAATCACACTGTTACCAAAACAGTGCTCCACATTCTGACATTAAGTACATAATGGAAATGTATTAAATAACAGTTACAGTAAACTACGGTTATAACGAACACGCTTATAACGAACTGACGGATATAACGAACTTACTTTTTGGTCCCGACTATTTGCTGTAGTTATGCTGTATATTTGCTTATAACGAACTACGGTTATAACGAACTAAAATTAGTAGTCCCTTTGAGTTCGTTATAACCGTACTTTACTGTACTCATTACTGAATAACAGGAATAACATTTTTGAATTCTGAATTTTAAATGGCACCACTCAGAGATCAGGAGTTTTAATTACCAGTAGAATACTTCGTTAAGGCTTGCAGCAATTTGAAAGGTCATCAAAATCAGAGTCTGCATCAAATCCGCCATCAGATTCACACTGAGCAGAACCATCATTCTGCTGTTCCTGTTCTCCGGCCACATTCACCAGCACAACGACATCATCACCAGCATCACTAGCTGCAACTGCATCACCACCCCCACCGAGAGAAACAGGCGCTTCTTCTTCTGTTCCGTCCTCGAGAAGTCTCGTGAGACTGTTTGCTGCATTCAAGTGAATTGCGGGAATAAGATAATCGGAGTATATCTGCTGAATGAATCAGCTTGGTCATGGTACTCCTTGACAGACGATGCCTGTAATCTGTTTTGGTCGACCCTTGGTGGAAGAATAGTGAGTGAGTAATGTTTTACGCCGCTTTTAGCAATATTCCAGCAATATCACGGCGGGGGACACCAGAAATGGGCTTCACACATTGTACCCATGTCGGGAATCGAACCCGGGTCTTCGGCGTGACGAGCGAACGCTTTAACCACTAGGCTACCCGACGCCCCCGGGGTAGAATAAGCCTTCAGCAACCCATGCGTGTAGAAGGCGACTAACGGGATCGGGTGGTCAGGCTCGCTGACTTGGTTGATGCATGTCATCGATCCCAATTGCGTGGACCGATGCTCATGATATTAATCACTGGATTGTCTGGTCCAGACTCGATTATTTACAGACCGCCGTCTTATAGCTGGAATATTGCTGAGTGCGGCGTAAAACAACAAACCAAAACCAAATCTTTAATATTCTTAAAATTGGACTAGGTTGCTAAGGTATTGCGCAGAAGAAAATATAGCCTTGCTTGAGTGCGGAGTTAAACAAACAAACAAACAAGCTTCTTTAGTAACGAGATACTTGATCACAGCTGCTCATAAATTTGGTAAATCCTGGATTCTGACCTCTGAAAGATATTCATTCATCAGGTTTATTTGGCCCATCTTTTGTCACACGCTCCGACAGCATCCATACTGATTTTAGAGATGTGATCAAAATTAATACCATGTGGTACACAATATGTTTGGCCATACAGTAAACTACGGTTATAACGAACTCAAAGGGACCACTAAATTTAGTTCGTTATAACCGTAGTTCGTTATAAGCATATATACAGCATATATACAGCAAATAGACGGGTCCAAAAAATAGTTCGTTGTATCCGTCAGTTCGTTATAAGCGTATTCGTTATAAACGTAGTTTAATGTATTTTATTTATTAAGTGACGAGGGTTCTTATTGTCAACACTAGATTAGTTATATGTTATTATATGACAAACATGTTAATTGTATACCATCTGTTGGTTGGTTGTTGGTTTCACACGAAGTTATTTTACGTACAGATTTTTGAGTTAAGAACTTGATTCAGTTTGGGAATCAACACGTAACACAAACATTTCAGAGCAATATCAAGAACTATCATCTCTAATCGGTACCGTGGGCTTTTACTGTTTGCAGCCCCATCGATCAGCAACATTTGCTGAAGTATTTTTAATTACTTTCAACGTCTTGTTCGATAATTTCTGTTTTGTCTCTCAAAAATAATCGAACTACAAATGATAAACAATTAATTATGACATACTGCCAATGAGCTACACAATAGTGGCAAGGCTTTACCATGACGATTATGGCTCTTAAGTATCTCCTTGGGCAATTGTTCATGGTCGATGGTAAACGTGTACCAAATGCATCTGAAGTGTATAATGAAGGCAAACGTATTTATTTTTGTCGACAAAACAATTGACTCAGATTTAAAAAATCCATAGTAAGCTTTTGTATAACGATGAAGAAATTATTGAACGCAGAAAGGATACATGCGGCTTCTCACAGCGCTTATTCCGCGTTACGCGCGCTGAAATATTATCCCGTTTAACCAGCACGGTCAGTTTGCCTAGTCGGATCCCTTGTGTGTGGGTGTTGTTCGGTTAGCTGAGTGTGGTTATATCGGTGACAATGCCAACACCATTTGTCGTTTCATTCTTGGCATTTCTGATACCATATTCGACAGCGGTCTGTCATTCTGCAAACCTTACTGGGAAAATAATAGGAGAAACTTCACGTTTTCAACAGATCCCCAAATCTGATCTGTATAGATGCGCCAGTGACTGTCTCCGTTTCAGCATTTGTAAGGCGTTTGACTTCGGACTCAGTGATAGAATCTGTTCCCTGTACATGGAATCTACCGACGAGATGTCCGTGGAAAACAATCCCGACTTCATATACGGCAATATTGGCCTGTGGCCGAAGGTAAGTGTTGATCAGTTTATTCAAGTGCTGTGCTGCCAAAAGCTACCGTTAAAGTCAGTATGTAGACTAAAATCTGGTCTCTGAAATGAACATATCGTACATAAAAAAACAGTTGTTCAGTTATCTTAATAAAAATATAATAAAAAGGAGCCCAGTGACTCTCTTCATTTTCCTGATACTGCAGTGATCTAGACTTGCCAAACATTATAGACTTGCATGGGCTGTATTTGATATATATTTGTATCAGGGTCTGTAAGACAGACTAGTCAGTATGTATTGTATGTAGTTGTAGTTTATACACAGACCCAAGAAACACCATAGCTGCCACGCCATGGCTATGTGCTGCTGATTTATGCTACATTGCATCTACTGACTACTGATTCATAGGTTGGTTGGTTTGTTGTTTAACACCGCACGCAGCAATATTCCAGCAAAATGTCGGCGGTCTGTAAATAATCGAGTCTGGACCAGACAATCCAGTGATTGACATCATCAGCATCGATCCACGCAATTGGGATACGATGACATGCATCAACCAAGTCAGCGAGCCTGACCACCCGATCCCGTTAGTCGCCTCTTACGACAAGCATAGTCGCCTTTTACGGCAAGCATGGGTTGCTGAAGACTTATTCTACCCCGAATCGTAACGAGTCTGATTCAAAGGTACGAGTTCCAGCTACGTGACTTTCATATAGAGTTCGATGCAGTCCAACTTTCACAATACCAGTATACGTAACGGGCAACACTGTTGGGGGGACATTTACCTGTTTATTTTGTTAGATGTTTAACGCCGCGTTCAGCAGTATGACGGCGGTCTGTAAATATTCAAGCCTGGAGGATTATCACCATGTGCATTGATCTACACAAATGGGATACGATGACATGAATTGGTTGCTGAGGGCCAATTCTAACCCGCTTCTTCACGGGTCCATCTTACCTGTTGTTGGGTCGTTTTTCAGACAGCAGGTGTGTGTGCGAACCATGTCTGTTCCAAGTTCCAACAGTGCCGCGTTCGAAGAAATGGACGTCCAAGCTGCGGTAAGTTGATGCCTTACTCAATGATTATCATATTTGCCGATAAATATCTATACCGAGACCCAGGCGTTTCAGGGATGTCGCAAATGTTTGTTTGTTTGTTTGTTTATTGTTTAACGCCGCACTCAGCAATATTCCAGCCATATGACGGCGGTCTGTAAATAATGAAGTCTGGACCAGACAATCCGGTGATTTACATCATGAGCATCGATGAGACGATTTGTTTGTTTGTTGTTTAACGCCGCACTCAGCAATATTCCAGCTATATGACGGCGGTCTGTAAAATAATCGAGTCTGGACCAGACAATCCAGTGATTGACAACATGAGCATCGATCCACGCAATTTGGATCGATGACATGTATCTACCAAGTCAGCGAGCCTGACCACCCGATCCCGTTAGTCGCCTCTTACAACAAGCATAGTCACCTTTTTTTACGGCAAGTATGGGTTGCTGAAGACCTATTCTACCCCGGAATCTTCACGGGGATCGATGAGACGAGGTGTAGAAATGGTATTATATGTCATTCCGCCTGACACACTAAGCACAATTGTCATCAAAATAAATGTATAATTATGTGAGCAAAATGGACGATTTTAATACGATACGGCCGTGGCTGTTCCATTAATATTTCTGTTTGCATTTCACACCATAGCAAAACTGCAAGCCATGATTCTAATATGATTTGAGGTTCACATAATACACATTTTTATTTTAAACACATTAAAAACGTTTAAGAAACAGGGAACTGTTGAGGTTTGTGTTTGAGATAATAACACATGAGAGACAATGTTCCTCTAATTTACCCGTGAAGATCCGGGCTAGAATAGGTCCTCAGCAACCCATGCTTGCCGTAAAAGGTGACTATGCTTGTCGTAATAGGCGACTAACGGGATCGGGTGGTCAGGCTCGCTGACTTGGTTGATGCATGTCATCGATCCCAATTGCGTGCATGGATGCTCATGATATTAACCACTGGATTGTCTGGTCCAGACTCGATTATTTACAGACCACCGTCATTTCGCTGTAATATTGCTGAGTGCGGCGTTAAACAACAAACCAACCAACCAATCCTCTAATTTATTCCGACAGATACCAGGGAAATGTGTACACTGCTGTCGCGAAGGCAATCAAAGTACTGTCTGGACTTGGTACAGGGTAACGTCAATAGTCTCGTGCAGGCTATCACTGTCTGTAGTGCCAGGGGAAAGCAACTCGCAATGCTGGACTCTGAGGGCAAGAATAATCTCTACAAAACGTATCTCAAGATACACGGTGAGTATTTGTATGCCTTAAGGTACGTCTTATGTGTGTTTAAAATCCGCAGTCAGCAATATTCCAGCAACATCACAGATGTAATACGGTAGTTTGATATTGATATCATGAGCGTCGATCCATGGGGGGCAGCCCGAAGTGATTTGGTTTGGTTTGTTGTTTTACGCCGCACTCAGCAATATTCCAGCTATATGACGGCGGTCTGTAAATAATCGAGTCTAGACCAGACAATCCAGTGATTGACATCATGAGAACGATCCCGTTAGTCGCCTTTTACGATAAGCATAGTCGCCTTAATACGTAATTCTATGAGAGGTAAATATTGCTTAGTACCGACCAGTAGTACTGAAGCCATGTCGCGGCGGCCTGTGTGTGATCGAGTCTTGACCTGACAAACCATTTGGTCGACATTAAGAGCAGCACTGTAGGAATGTGCTGCCAGGCAGTCTTCAAAGTGCCTGAGCCTGACTACCGATTCATTCAGTTGGTTGGTTGGTATGTTGTTTAACGCCGCACTCAGCAATATTCCACCTATATGACGGCGGTCTGTAAATAATCGAGTCTGGACAATCCACTGATTGGGATCGATGACATGCATCAACCAAGTCAGCGAGCCTGACCACCCGATCCCGTCAGTCGCTTCTTAGGACAACATAGTCGCCTTTCACGGCAAGCATGGATTCATTTAGTCATAACAAGAATAGGCTAAGTGGGACCTTGCCTTGAACCAGAATCCCTACAGATGTAAAGTAAATGAGTGTAGTCCGAAATCGGATTCAATTAATATTTTAATGGAGATTCGGAAAATATGGAAAACAATGCACTGATATATTTGCAGGAGATCCAACGATATCGGCGTATGTTCATGGCACGGATGAAGAGGTGGAGGGCAAATGGGTTTGGGGCAATGGCAAATTGTTTGAGTTCATAGACTGGAAGACGGATAAGCCAAACAACTTTGGAGGTATTGAACATTGTCTTGCTGCTGATGCTGACGGGTGGAATGACATCGGTTGTAACGATCGTTGTGGCTATACATTGTGCGAAATAACATATTGATAAGGGCATAAGGGATTATATTTCTGTTACATCTGAACCAGGCACTGAGAGCACGACCCGAGCCGTCGGGGAGTGATGGCGCAGATTGCAGCATGTGGCACGGTATATCATCTGAGGCGACTCCAACGAGTACAAGTGGCTTTAGTTTGGTTTGGTTTGGTTTGTTGTTTAACGCCGCACTCAGCAATATTCCAGCTATATGACGGAGGTATGTAAATAATCGAGTCTGGACCAGACAATCCGGTGATTAATATCATGAGCATCGATCCATCGATCCATTCAAGGACAATTTCACCAGCAATTTGTTTCATTATTGTTCGTAAAATGAATGGTAGATTCGAAATAAAGTAATAATAAAGAAATAAAGACATAAAAAACAGAGAATGATAATTCAAAACTGTAGATCTCACTTTATTAACTATTGCTGCAGATGTTGAAAATACAACAAACAATGAAATGCAAACCAACGTGTCCATTTTAAACCACAGCGAATTGCTGCGCCTTTGACAAGACATTGACAGATGTATCTGTTTCAAATTCACACTACGGAGTGAATCGGGCTCTCTGGAAAACTCTTATTGAGGTCAGTTGAATTGGAAACTATATGAAACATTGACACCGGCTGTTGTATGAACACAATAAAACACCCCGTCCGTTTTACTGATGACATCTGGGGGCACGGAGGCCCAGTCGTCTAAGGCGCCGCGATTCGCGGTGCAGAGTTGCGTCCCTTGGGCACGCCAGAAACCTATGATTGTGACTTCGAATCCCGGTTCGCCCCAATTATGTTTCTAGGTTTGTCAGCTCCATACCCGTGCTCGTGGGTTTCACCGAAGCGGTAAACGTTTGAGACATGCATCACTTCGGGCTTTCCTCCCACATTAAGCTGACACGCCGCGATATGACTGGAATACTGCTAAAAGCGGCGTTAAACCAATCTCACTACTACTACTACTGATGACATCTATTCCACATGTACTGGGGAAGATTCATTGAGAGGGGCCTGAAGTTAGCAGCAGGCTAGTTATTCGTTATTCGTTTTTCGAATAACGAAAAACAAACCAACACCGGGTTCGAGTTTCAATGTATATCACCACATTACTGTAGTTGTTTAATATACAGCCTTTGAATAACGAACCCGCTGCTAACTTCAGACCCCTCCCATAGAGTAGAGTGGCGTTTGGAATGTGGACAGTATCTCGTACTGTCCAGCCTATAGTACTTGCGCTTTGACCCCATTCTTTTAAACTGTGCACATGTTCTAAGCATCTCCTTTGCAGTACAGAACTTATGTAGTTTCAGTTTGCTTGGTCACAATTAAATGAGCATGGGTAATGTATATGTGTCTAATGCACTACTTATTTTTATTGAAAATGTATGTTTTCATCAGTTGGACGTGATGTTGGTTGGTTGGTTGGTTTGTTGTTTAACGCCGCATTTAGTAATATTCCAGCTATATGACGGCGGTCTGTCAATAATCGAGTCTGGACCAGACAATCAAGTGATTGATATCATGAGCATCGATCTACGCAATTGGGATCGATGACATGCTTCAACCAAGTCAGCGAGCCTGACCACCCGATCCCGTTAGTCGCCTTTAGTTATCTTGAAAATTGGAATTATAATGTTGTAAATTCAAGTTTCTATCTTGAAAATTCAAGTTCTTACCAGACAACAGTGCCAGCTCAAACCAGAAAGCGAAGCCTTAGGAAGTTCATTTGCTGAAGGGGCGGTCGGGTAGCCTACTGGTTAAAGCGTTCGCTCATCACGCCGAAGCCCCGGGTTCGATTCCCGACATGGGTTCAATGTGTGAAGCCCATTTCTGATGTCCCCCGCCGTGATATTGCTGGAATATTGCTAAGGCGGCGTAAAACCATACTCACTTACTCGCATTATAATGCTGCCTTGTTCAGTCTCAACTGTTCAAGTATCAAGCTGTACATAATGGAGCCCTGTAAGTTGTTTGCACCAACCCAACAGCGCTTGCATTGATCCTATACATTCCGTCCAGGCCTTTCTGAATATTAAACTGATGAGAATATATCTAATGGTGTACTTCTACACCCATTCGTGCAAGCAATACCTTTGTTTTTCTGTCATTGCCGTGCATTGACGTTTTCTGTTTACGTTATTGTTGAAAATATCATTGTAAACAACGCACTGTAAGAATGTGTACTGACGGGTAGGAGACAATACTCCCTATCAATGCTCAATATGAGCTTCAGCGCTTCGGGGAATTTTGTGATGCACTGTACAAATCTGAAACTACTTACACGTGTTTAGCTTTCATTGTTCACGGCTCCATTAAATATAACGTTGCTGATTAGACCTTCGATATTAACTCACACAATTTACAGTATCGAACAGACTGTTTTGTCTTATAAGCTTTAGTGGCTTTTGAACGGAGTTGCTCTGCGTGTTTGCTTGTCACTAAACGTGTTTAACAAGCAATCAGTATGCAAGCAAGGATTTACTTAAACTGAAGTGACGTCAGGGGCGTTAACTACACTCTTCGAAGTACAGTAAACTACGGTTATAACGAACTCAAAGGGCTACTTATTTTAGTTTGTTATAACCGTAGTTCGTTATAAGCATATATACAGCATAACTACAGCAATTAGTCGGGACCAAAAAAGTAAGTTCGTTATATCCGCCAGTTCGTTATAAGCGTGTTCGTTATAACCGTAGTTTACTGTACATAATTCATCGACGTCAGCATGTTACCCCAGAGTGAAGACCCGTGAAGATCCGGGGTAGAATAGGTCTTCAGCAACCCATGCTTGTCGAAAAAGGGGACCAAGTCAGCGAGGCTGACCACCCGATCCCGTTAGTTGCCTTTTACGGCAAGCATGGGTTGCTGAAGACCTATTCTACGCCGGAGCTTCACGGGTTTGGCGTCTGCATCAATCACAGTGTTTGGCGTCTGCATCAATCACTGTGGGCGGAGCTTATTTAGGGTTGCGCTATAAATAGCAAAGCACATGGTCATGTGTACATTCAATGCATTTGTGGTCAAAGTGTATCGTGGTATATATATTTACGGCAGAACAGCAGCAGTTTCAGTTAATGTAACAGTAACGATACATAAATACGAAATTGACGTTAATTACGTTAGTATTAGCGATAAGATTCTATCAGTTCAATCCGAAAATTACAGCTAGATTGATGTCGATTTGTTTGATTTTGGACATTAGCATTCAACAGTCAGATCTATACCACAGAATAATCAGATTATATTTATAAATCTTGTTTTGACCTACATTAGACATATGTAGATAATATGGTACTTACGATAAACGATAACACCAATACACAGATTCCAAGACAACTTTTATTATGGATTTCCTTTTCTTTCACAGAATTGTCACACACAAAACTGAGTTTGATCATTAGATCCACACTTGTCCCATGTAATTATTGTTCGGTGGATTTGGATACACTTCGCGCATATGTTTTAAAATACAATCTGGAATCGACCCGTGAAGATTCCGGGGTAGAATAGGCCTTCAGCAACCAATACTTGCCGTAAAAGGCGACTATGCTTGTCGTAAAAGGCGACTAACGGGATCGGTTGGTCAGGCTCGCTGACTTGGTTGATACATGTCATCGATCCCAATTGCGTGGATCGATGCTCATGATGTTAATCACTGGATTGTCTGGTCCAGACTCGACTATTTTACAGACCGCCGTCATATAGCTGGAATTTTGCTGAGTGCGGCGTTAAACAACAAACCAAGAGTTCTCAATATTGACATCTCATTGGCTGGACTTATGTTCCAGGAATATTGTTCGCCATGACGTTCAGAATGTCATTCTCACTTATATTAAAGCGTGTGGCAGTTTAACTAGTTTATAAATATCTAGGTACTTAGGAAACCTATATTCTGGGCAAGGTGTACATGGGCCTAGTTGCCCGAACACCTATAAAACTTTAAATGATCAATCAATCGACAGATGCTCGTCGTGGATGGAGAAAAAATGCAACTGAGAGAAACACTGTTACTTTGAGCTTTGAGATAAAAAATGTGTTCATGGGAGAAAGTTTTGTTTATTTGTTGGTTTGTTGTTTAACGCCGCACTCAGCAATATTCCAGCTATATGACAGCGGTCTGTAAATTATTGAGTCTGGACCAGACAATCCAGTGATTTACAGAATGTCATAATCAAACAAACAAACATTGGCCGTCTTGTCTTCTCGCCCAGTCTCAGCTGTTATCTGGCTGCAGTGACAAGCAGGATGTTTCTTTCATAGATACCATTATCTGTGAAATGTGAGTTAGTCATTTAAAAATTGTTTTCTTATTAAATGTCTCGCTCTTAATGTTGTAGAAATATCTAATAAAAACGCTGGAATTCGTCTTAAAAATGTCAACATGTCTTTTTTGTTTGAAGTTTTGATTAATGACAATACGAACACCTGGTGTCTTCACTCGAAGGGGTTAAGGTACTGTAAAATTATTTTGTCCCCCTGAGAGGATACGTAAGTTCCACATCTTTCAAAGTAAATTTAGAACTACAACGTTTTTAACCGTAGAATATGTGTCATTTTAATGTGTTAGGCTAACTCTCCCAATAATCGCCAACACTTGAAGGGATGATATAAATCCTGCTGGGGTCCATACAGGAAGCAAAAGTACTGTAAGTCCCCATGGTCCCCAGTATGGTGATGTACCTTCAATTGCTGGCGATCTATAGCCCGTTTTTATCTTGTATCGTTATATATAGTGCTTTTCTTTTTAATGATTCCGTACTAGTTTTATAACTTGTTCTGTGATAAGTCTAGTAATTTCACTGTCCTTCGTTGACAGGTTTTTTTATATAAGTTCAATTGTATTGATTATGCTTAACTATTGATAGTCACGATATGGCTGAAATATTACTGATGTGACTAAAAACTCACTCACTTCAATGTTTTCCAGTGGTCCATTCATATAATTTCCCCAGCTGGTTGCGCTTTGCGCCAAATGGAATCAGTTTCGGTCAATAGTCTAGACTGGTTATCCTCATTCATTGACTGACTTATATTTATTAGGACTTCTTATTCCCACGGTGGATCATCGTTTCCCGGGGGCGTGGTTCGTTGTTTATAATATCAACCCCGGGGTCGCGAAGGTAACGTACAGACATTGTATGGCGCACACAGGTTATGTGATTGAATGAAGCGTACGTAAAATATGTAGATATGCCGGTTCCTTTTAGTCATGGAATACAATGGATAACATCTGAGGGTTGAACTTTAGAAAGTACAAATAATAATAATAATAATTGATTTGTAAAGCGCCTAATATC